CTATTATTTTACGGAAATCGAATAAATTTAAATGTGCAAAAAAAAAAAAAATATCTTAAACTGTTTTTATTTTTGTAAAAGTTTAAATATTATTATAAATTACAAATACATTTAAAGTATCAACCAAGGAACTATTTTAAGCATTTTATATGTGTTTGAAAGTTATGAAAAAAAAATCATGCTAAAAGAATTACCCGTAATGACATTTATTGGGAAAACCCAGACATCAGTAGTTTTTAGTGTGTCTTTTAGTGCGTTGTTAATATTACGAAATAAAATGGAAATTAATTTGGTCTCAATAATAATAATAGCGTGAATAGCCTATTTGGCCAAAACTCTTAGGTTTCTGTAAATTTAATAACCGTTCTTGACAAAACTGATCATGTATTTTCCCTTTTAAAAGTAAACTTCTTACTAAATATAACTGATTGCTGTTTGAATTGAAAATAAAACACACACAATTTAGCTTTGAATATTTTAACATTTAAAAATTTTTGCCTTTTTTTTTATTCCAAAAATATACTTTTATTAAAATTATAACATAATAAATTCTAATCTTTAAATATAATTCTAATTAGAAAATGCAGTTTAAGCCAATCACGCAGCGCACTTCCATAGCCAAATAACATTCACTAATCCACTTATAACTCATAAAAATAAGAACGAACCATATGAAGTACAAAATATGTTAGTTTGGATATGGAAAGGACTAAAATCTAGTGAAAGATTTTCTAAATTTATTTAAGTCTGGGCGGGGAGGGTTGTTCACTTTGCCCCAGGCAGCACAAGATACGTCTCAAAATAAAGGAATGATTTGGACTAATAATTAGCCTTCTTTGGTATATACATATCGGAGGTAGGATATAGGATGTGTATATTTTTACGAGGATGGCAATATATTTAAATCCTATGGTATTACATTTGTGAAAAAAGGTATGCCACTTTCTCTTTTTACACATTTTTATGTGTTCATTTTGCTCAAGGCTGAACAAGATATGTTTCAAAATAAAGGAAATGAATTTGATTAATAATTAACCTTCTTGAGTACATACATATCGGAGGTAGGTAATGGGATGTGAATATTTTCACGTACATGACAGTATAATTAACTCCTATGTTATTATATTTGTGAAAAAAGAGATGCCACATTCTCTTTTTACAAATATTTATCAATATGTATATGTTCATTTTGCTCAAGGCAGCACAAGATTCGTCTCAAAATAAAGGAGTGAATTTGATAAATAATTAACCTTCTTGGGTACATTCATATCGGGGGTAGGTAATAGGATGTGTACATTTTCACGTGGATGACAATATATTTAAATCCTATGGTATTACATTTGTGAAAAAGAGATGTTGCATTCTCTTTTTACAAATATGTATAAGTTCAGTTTGCCCAAGACAGCACAAGTTACGTCTCAAAACAAAGGAATGAGATTGATAAATAATTAATTTTCTTGGGTAAATACATGTCGGAGATAAGATGTGTATAGTTTTAAGTGGATGAAAACATCGTTAACTCCTATGGTATTCTCTTTAAAAAAAGAGATGTTACATTTTCTGTTTACAAATATGGGTAATTTCAGTTTGCCCATGGCCCATGGCAATACAAGATACGCCTCAAAATAAGGGAGTGAATTTGATCAATAATTAACCTCCTTGGGTACATTCATATCGGTGGTAGGAAAAAGGATGTGTTCGTTTTTACGTGGATGAAAATATATTTCCATCCTATGGTATTACATTTGTGAAAAAAAGAGATTTCTTATTTTCTTTTACAAATAAACATATGTTTACCAATTAAGAAAATCAATGGCGTTACATTTATATAAGCATACCCTTAAATATCAAAACCCAATTATTTTACACACTTGAAAAAGTAATTTTGAAAAATAGAGATAGGTTAATATTTACTTTCAAAAAATGAAAATATAATTTTGTTTTTACTTTGCAAAAAACTAAAGAGGTGTGTATTTTTATGAGATGAACAATTTAAATTTGTTAAAGTCTTTTAAGCCGTGAAAAATGGTTGCGAGATTCTTCTTTAGATAAAATAATTCTTTGTTTTACGAGTCTCTGATAATATATATATTTTTTTAAAGGCATAAATATGTTTAAATTTTTGATGAAGATATCAATATATATCGAATTCCTGCCATATAATATATACTTAAATCATAATATATATAGTTTTTGATTTAAATTTAAGATTAGTTTTTTTAAACAATTTTTAGAGAAAAAATTTGTAATTCAAGGGCACGAAAAGGGGTAAATCTAAAATATTTCTCTAAGGTAGTAATTGTTCCTCAATTAACTCCTTTAGTGACAAAAGTGATATAAGTAGTGATAAGTTAGACTGGGTTTTTTAAGGTCATGTTTAGAGGGGAAAAAAGTAGTTTAGGAGCGTGAAAGGGAGTAAGGTAGGCTTATATTATGTAGCAGATAAATGCTTCTCAAAGCTTAATGATGTTAGAAATGTAAATAGCATTATATGTTTAAAGTTATGAATTGTGATAATTTTTTGCAATAGCACTTAGAAATTTACGCAAAGGACCTATCATTATTATCCCGATAATATCAGGTCATATAGTCTAGTATCTATTAATTTAACTTTCAAAAAGGGGAAAATGCATTATCAGTTTTGTCATGCGCGTTTATAAAATCAAAGAAACTAAGAGCTGTGGCTAAAATAGGTAATCGTGCTATGACGTCATTTGCGTAATTATTTATATCAAATTAATTTTATTTTTATTTCGCCATATTAACAACGCACTAAAAACACGCTAAGAATAGCATATGTTTTCCAGATAAATGTGATTAAGATGAGTTACCGGAAATTTGATAGAAAGAAATTTCGTCGACGGTAAATTGATCGACGGTAATTTGATCGAACGGAAATTTGGTCGAATCTTTAGTTCATACGTTAAAATTTTCGTAAAATTTCTTTTAAAACGCACGATCTGATATAGTTTAACAAAATTTGGCGTTCAAAAAGAAATTTGAAGCAAAATTTTAGAGTAAAAACTGAAAAAAAGATTTGACCAAATTTCCCTTCGATCAAATTACCGTCGATCAATTTACCGTAGACGAAATTTCTTTCGATCAAATTTCCGGATACGATTAAGATGCAATTCTTAGATCATAATATTTTGATTTATATTTTTTTCAGAACTTTTACATTCGGATAAAATGCTTAAAATACTTCCTTAGTTGTTACTTTAAATATATTTGTAGCTTATATAATAATAATACTTAAAACTTTTGCTAAAATAAAAGCGGAAATATATATTTTTTGGCGCATTTAAATTTTATCGATTTCTGTAAAATAATAGAAAATAACTATGATGGTTTTGAAGAATCCGATGTGTCTAAATATTTTCGGTTTTTCGGCGTTATGCAGCATAGCTCATTCTTATATATCTATTTCGGTATTGCTATACGTACACGGGTCCCCTTAGACAAAATGGCTATTCGCACCCGATATCTTAGCAATCGAAAAAAAACCCAACCTTTTCCGAACCAAAGGCTTAATAATCGACAAGTTCACCGCGCTTTCTTTTTTAAAAAAATGGATGCAGGCAAGATGTTTGACACCTATACGTCTTTTGAAGACGATTTCTCATACTACGATTGTTATCACACCCGGCTCCGAAGCCATTTAATCAACATGGAGCCACTACGGGTCTGAATAGACATTGTGTCTAAAGGTACCCGGGTACCTATAGCCGCAGCCTTTTAAAATTAATTGAATAAAGATTTATGACAATTAAAGTATTTTTGATTTTTTTAAAGTGTGACGTCACAAATTTTCGACCACCCCCCGTCCCCCCTGTCTCAAAGTATTACAAATTCTCGACACCCCCCTCCCCCCCCCCCCCCAGCGTGACGTAATTTGCGAACGACCCCAAGCCTTTTGGGTTGGCCACCCTTGACCTTGATCAAGAAAAACAAATTTTTATTTTTTTAAAGTGGGACGTCACAAATTTTCGCCCCCCCCCCGCCCCCCCTGTCTCAAAGTATTACAAATTCTCGACACCCCCCCCCCCCCCCCCCCCCCAGCGTGACGTAATTTGCGAACGACCCCAAGCCTTTTGGGTTGGCCACCCTTGACCTTGATCAAGAAAAACAATTGAAGCTTTACTTCAAAACTGGATTTTATAGCTCGAGAGAAATCAATTCCATTTTAAGTCAAAATGTATTGCAACAAAGATACACATCTTTGACTCCCTCTTCATTCATATTTCGCGGCGCCCCTGTGATGAAGCTGTGGAGCCGCGGCGCTCCCTCTCAAGGACGCACTGATCAATTGTCCTTTGTCCGCCCGCTTTTAGATTATGCATCTTCATTCTGGGACCCGTTTACCCAGAAGAGCATTGACAGGTTGGAGGCGGTCCAGCGATGGGCAGCACGCTTTGTCCTGAACGGCTACATGAATACCTCTAGTATTGGCAGCATGCTGGAAACACTCGGCTGGTCACCATTGGAGGAACGCCGACGGCTATCCAGGCTTTCCATGATGTAGGCCTACAAGGTAAATAATGGGCTGGTCCACTGCTCCAGCATTAAACAGAATCTCGTCCCTCTCCCCCATAGAAAGTGATGAGGCCATGACAGGCAATTCTGGCTTATACCAGCGAGAGTCAGTAAAGGAGCTGCTCATTCCTGCCAAAGATTACCAAGGAGTGGAACAAGCTTTCAAAAGGAACAGTTGAGGCGACAACACTTGACACATTTGCATCTATTGCCTCAGGCCTTCCAACCCCCAGTGCATAATACCCTCACAAAGTAGCCCTTGCAACCAGTGAAATATCCTCATCAACACCAGCCATAGAAACATTGCAAATCCCCTCTACATGCTTAGGAGCCAAAATGATCAATAAATTGATCGTGGGCCCTTAATATATAGAAGAAGAAGAAATGAGTGAATAATTCTAAAAATAGTTTGTGCACGTGACTATCTGCGGCCTGCCTTCCATTTATTTTTGTCCTGGCAATGTGGGTTCAAATCGAGGCTATGCTACACACACAATTCAAGATGGACGTCAGCAGTCAGAGATGATTTTACTATTACAACTCGCCCTAACGTTGTTGAACTCAAATAATAGATATACATGTATTTGGAATATAGTAAAATAAATTCTTACTATTTGGATGAAATATTGTCAGTCAAAGTAAGTATATATTTTCCATGTCTTTAATTTTATTTGATTTGGATAATGTTTATCTTTTGTAAATGTTAGTTAAAGTTACGGACATTTCAATTTTAATTTTTTAAGCTTCTAATACAAATAATAGTGTACTTCACTAAAAATTTCAAAGTTGTTATATATTAATGAAATTTATATCATATATCATTAGAAAGGACTCAGTATTCCCTTTCCACTAATTCATTGATACCAATTTTATTTTTCTATCTTAAAAATACTTTAACTTAATTAGAAAAACAAGTTTTTCGCATTTTTAGTGTAAGAGTAATATAGTAATAATTTTTCCTTATGACTATGTAGTATAATAATGGTCTAATTTTAAGTATAGCCTTAGCATTAGTAAATAATTTCCAAAATTCTGAGATCGAAAAAAGAAATCTTTGACACTCAAAATGCAATAACTTTTTATTCAGCTAATTTAAAGCTCTGAAATTTGTAGTGCATTTCAATTAGTATTAGGCCTGAGTCTAAGTATTGGGCTTTACTTTTTTGGCTTTTCTCTTTAGTACTTTAGATTAGGCTAATATGATAAATCATTGTAATGCAAATCTACAACTACAATAAATATTGGCCTAAACTATATATTAGTTGTGTGGGATTTGAACAACAGAGGGTAAGGACATTTCATTAAAAATGTAGTGCCTGTTCTCAATAGGCATAGGCCCTACTCAAAATGCCATAACTTTTTTACCTGTAAAGTTAAAAGCCTTATTAAAATTTTCCGCACAGTTTAAGTTTAATTAGATTTTGGGCTTTTAAGCCATATTAATATTTTAACTAATGTATTAATGAGTGATATTTGAACAAGAGAGGGTCTAAATATATTTAATCGGTGACATTTTGGCAACATGGTGAGTAAATTTTATTTTAAAATGTAGCCTTTTTTTGCATTAAAAATAAACATTTTATAATATAAATATTACCAATTCAAATTATTTTATAATAATGGATAAGAATAAGACGAATTGAAAAGATGCTGATCCCAAATGTTAAATCCAATCTTCCAATCCATGAAATTGTTAATCCAAGTATCCGTGCTATTAGGAATCCACAGTACAAATGATGATTACTTAACATTATATTAGTACTTTTATAGTTCATTGAACGGCTGAACAAAAGAGATACATATTCTTTCATAGGAAGATAATGATCAAAAGTAATGAGTTGGCAGAGTCCATGGCAATTTTGATCAAATTTGTAACAGTTATAGATACCATTGGTCATGAAAGGTTTTCCAAAAATGGTTTTCTTTGTGTCAATATTGTTGATTCCATCCATCATGATGATAAATAGGAGTCCTGAGTGTATAAATTTCCAAATAAATGCAGTTGATGGTGAAAAATATCAATGCTGTCAAAATTATGCTCTGGTGGTTGTTCGTGGTGGATCATCCAATAGGACATTCAGTCACACCTGATAGGTTTTTGTTAAAACAGGAAAGACCAGTACAACAAAGTGAAATTGTTCACGCTGACACATTTTGGCAGCTGAAGCAAAACTTAACACTGCTGGGCGGCCAGTACCTCTGAGCTGGAGAGGTATTATCTTCCACTTCATCGCTACACAAACTTCTTGTATTTCAATGTGGGTCATGTAGTCCAGACAAACTGAAATAGAGATAAAGAATAGTTTTAATTAAACACAAAATAAGCATTTTAACATAAGTAACAAAAGGGACCTTCTATATTAGATTTTTTTATATATCTAAGATTGTATATTCCAGTGTGATAGTTCTGTAATTAAATTATTTATTAATTAAGACTAATGGTGATTTTATTTATCCTGTCTATCCAGTATAGATATTATTTTGTTATGTTCTAACATTATATTTATTCAGATTAAGACAAGCTTGTATTACATATCCATTAGGTAACATTATTCCTTATTAATCAGATATAAATTTACTGATATAAAAAAGTCTGGTAGTCTTTATGAGCCCTCATTACAGCTTGTCCATCAACTGGAATGGACAGGCATGAACCGTAGGTATTTCTAGTACTAGAAGCACAGCTCCTCCAAAATGTGGTGGTGACATGGCTATAAATTTAAAAGAAAGAAAATGCCGAGACATTTAAGACATTTTTCTTATAAAAACTACTAGCTTAGCTGTTGTTTAAAAAATAAAGTTATTCAATGACCAGAATTAAAGACTGGGCTAAGTCTGAAAAGTCACATATAATAGCTTTGAGCTAAAGCAGTAAAGCTTAAAGGCAAGAAAGGAAATTACATTTTTAAAAATGGGGTATACAAAAGGAAAATGAAAAAGAGAGATAGGTTATTTAGAAGACAAAGGTAAATAAAATTATGAAACTTAATGAAAATAAAAATAGATGATGACAGATGACGTTTAGTAGCTGCTGAGCCTACTACTACTATTCATTGATTACCGTATCTAATCTAATATGAGTTTAAGATAAACTATATCATTAAGGGTATTATTATTCTTGACATGGTTATCATAGTTGTAAATTTTATTTAAAAAAAAAAATTAATAATGAAATTTCATAAAATATGTATAAATTTGTTTTCAGTCATTAAATTAAAACAAATTAAATAATATAAATTAACTGGATGGCTTTTTAAAAACAATAGATTTATAAAGATTTTAAATACTTCTTATGCAATAAGAATAACAACAGAGAATGGCTATCACTTCCGGTTCATTTGGCCTAATCAATAAATGGTTAATGAAGTATGCTCAAATCGACACCCTGTCTTTACAATTTAAGGCCTATCTAAATGTCATTATGTTTCTTGATTCAATTAGTTAAATTGTTCCTGCATAGAATACAAAAAAGAATTAATGGGAATACTATTATGGTTTCCGAAATATAGTGCTTACCTGTTTTCCCAACGAAAGATATCTGCCACAAGCACTGTAAGTCCGATGAAAAAGTTAATGTCATAATATCAACCTCCTGGTGTGCACAAACCAGTCTATAGCAAGTTCATTGTCTCTTCTTTACATAGACAAAGGAAACTAGATCTTTATATGATCCCGTGACCTACCGGCATGGACCGTTCACTGATTTATGGTTTGTTTCTCGCATTCGAAATAACGATCTGTGCGCATGGCGTAGTAGTGAATTACCTACTTCTTCTCTTCTTCTTCTTCTATATCTTAAGGGCCCACGATCAATTTATTGATCATTTTGGCTCCTATGCATGTAGATGGGATTTGCAATGTTTCTGTTACTGGTGGTGATGAGGAAATTATGCACCAGGGGTTTGAAGGCTTGAGGCAATAGACACAAATGTGTCTAGTGTTGTCGCCTCAACTGTTCCTTTTGAAAGATGGTTCCAGTCCCTGATTGTCTTGGGCAGGAATGAGCAGCTCCTATACTGGCTTCTTGCTGGTATGAGCCTGAATTGCCTGTCATGGCCTCGTCGCTGTCTATGGGGGAGAGGGACGAGTTTCTGTTTAATACCGGAACAGTGGACCAGCCCATTATTTATCTTGTACATCATGGAGAGCCAGGATTGTCGTCGTCGTTTCTCCAATGGTGACCAGCCTAGTGTTTCTAACTCCATTTGGTATTTACTATTTAATAATTTAATCTATTAAATTATCACTATATTAGACAATGATCAATCATCGTAGAGGCCTTAAATTTAAAAAAACAAACTTTATGATGCCTAAAGGCCTAACCTATAATAGTACTATACTATCAAATACTATGTTTATATAATATCCCTATTGTCTATTCTATATTATATAATTCTATGGCTATTTTAATCATAGTAAATTGCATTTATTAAATATTGGCCTAAACTTTTCTGTTGTATAACCATATAACTATTCTTTATAAGTATTAGTTGTAAGGCAGGGCCAGGGCCTATTTTAATAAAGTCATGGTCATGAGTCCTATTTTTAGGCCCTAAACACAGGCTACTACTAATCAATGACTAATGGATGAATTAATAGCAATCCAAATGGGCTTTAGCCCCTTGCTTTATTTCATTTATAAGTCAGCCTATAAAAAGCATAAACCTGCTTTGCCTTGGCACTTCGGTATAGTTCGGGAAACGCCAAAAACTTGGTGTCATGATTTCGTTATCAAAATAGCTCATATGGCGACCTCCACTTTTTAATTCACTGAGGGTCTAATTATTAACCTTTTTTTTTTTGCCAACTATATACTGTATACCAAAATACACATTCTATTTCTGCTTACATCTTTAGACTCGCTGTTTTAGTTTTTTTCATTAGACACTTTTGCTCCAAAAGGAATTTGAGTTCTTCATTTTGAACAGTGGAGGTAAATTAATGCTCACTTTATATATATATATATATGTTTTTGAAAATGGTTGTCTTTTAATTTTAAAGTGGTTCAGAGATAACTGTATAAATTACAACATATCAAATTTGTGACGTTAGGACCAACAGGTTGGTAAAAAAATGTGTACACATTTTTGTCACGTGTCCCAAAATTACCTATTATCGATAACTGACTTTTTAAAAAGTAAATAACTTTGTTTACGCTGGAAATCCAGCTTATTACCCCATAATAGCTCTTTCAGAAACAAAAAGAAATAATTTAATAACACAAATACATATTTTTTACTATGATTTGATGCTTTTATTGAGGGGTATTAATTGGAGAGTGGGTTAAATAGGCCTTATTATTATTACTATTATTAAATTGTTATTATTGTTAAATTATCTATTTATAGGGCCTACAAGCCTGTATAGTACTGTATATAGTATTATAAGTATAGGCCTAGCACCACCCCAACTTATTACTTGTAGGACCCATTATTCGTTAGATGTAAGTAATACTATTTTAAGGGATATAGTTGATTCTTAAGACATAAATTTAGTAAAAATATTTTTAAAAATATTCACTTATCTTTGATATTGAAAAATCCTTTATTTAATCATGTATCGCAATGTTCTACAAGAGAGTTATTATATAATCCTCAGTATTTTCAAAGAAAAAACCCACTTTCTCAGACTTTCTGCCACAATAATCCAAGGTTTACTAAAGAAATTACTAAAGAACAATCATAAAAACGTGTACTTACCCCAAGCAAATGACTAGAAATTATTTTAATTTCTATCAACCTCCAAAGTTGATTCTAACAATGCATGTTGATTTGTGAAATAAGATTACTCACTTAAAATAAATGACATACTAATTTTTGGTTATATTCATATATTGGAATACATATATAGAATATGGTAAAATAAAAAGTCTAATCGTCAGATGAATCAAATAATCCCTGTATTATTTGTTTATACTTATGAATGTCAAACAATTTCACAGAAAATTTGAAATTAATACCTAAAGAATGTTATTATTATTGGGAAATTTAAAAAGTATATATTAAAACAAAATTAATTAAATACTAATAAGTGACGAGTCAGCATATTTGATACATTTTTAATAAGGAAAATTGTACCGTTTTTTTTAAATTTTGTGGAATCTAACAAAAGCTAAACTTATATGTTGTGGATTTATTTAGAAGAACTCATATTAAACTGTTTCCTGTAAATATTATATTTTTGTCTCAATTTATAAGTTATAGGTGTAAAATCAAAAGCATAATAAGGGTCAAGAGATGTGGAGGAAACCCCTATAGTGAAAAAGTCGTTTTGAGGTCCTTATTACAAAATTCATTATTAAGACACCAACAAATTGTGTCACTATAACAATATAAGTTACGATTTAATAATAATTATACATAAGCCCGCAGCTAGGGGCAAGGTGAGGCACTTGCGCCCCCCCCCCCCCCCCCCCCCCCCCCCCCCCCCCCGCGCCTCCCATTCTATATAACAATATAAAAAAAAAACAAAAAAAAAANAAAAACCCCCCCCGAAAGTTAATCGTTTTTTTTGTCCCCCCCCCCCCCCTTCTAGAAAGTTTTCTGCGGGCGCCCATGACATTATACACAAGTAAACGGTTCGGCACATGCCTTCATCAGTACAAACAAAAAAACGCATTTAAATAAGTATAAATTAAATTTACATAATATCAATAATATAAATCTACATATCCTACCTAAAAAAAAGGAGAGGGCGCTAAAACCAGACAGCACCAAAGTAAAGAGGCGTAGAAAGGAAGTGATTATTGCAGTCCAACACTTTTTATCATTAGTTCATTTGACAAAATTCATAACTTTTGAACCACTTGAGCTAGAAAGTTGATCTGTGTTTGATCTCTAGGCTCTACACAGCTGTTGTAATTTTATTTTATATTTTAAAAATGTTTTGAAAATGTCATCAAAGTGCCTACTGCTACTATACTGACTCTACTGATGATATATTCTATTTAAAATATGTGTTCTTAACAATTAAAAGGGTTCTTTTAAATGGGCCATTTGCCTACATTCTACATCCACACTCTTATACTATCAATATCATACTTTATAGTCATAGTATTATGATAGTCGTTCATATATTTTATATATTGCCTACATTCTATATGTACAACATTCACTTTGTGAGAGAAATATGTAGGTCTTCCAGGTCAAAGTACTCAAAGTGAGATTGATTATCATAGGTCCAACTTGCTGATTACACTGTAGGGACTTAGAGTAGAGTAAGACTAAGATTGTTCAGACCTAATTATTTTAACTTATTCGTTTCAATCTTTTAAATTTTTCTAATAGCCAAAGGCAACTCGTCTATAGTATAGGTCTGTAATCTATATAATATATATGGGCCTACTAGTTATACTCATCATAACTTGAGTATAGCTATCCATAAGGGCTCGTACTCGCATAATGAGATAGGCCTGCTAGCAGTTAACAGTAAAAATAGAATGCTAATATACTGGCAATACTAGACTCATTTCTTTATAATTGTATAGGTTATTGAAAGCTGTCTACAACCAAGTGAGCAGGTACATTCCTGTACATACAAATGTTACCAGAAGTAACACTTAGGCTTAGTCTTAGACATCTTAGTGACTTGCAGTAACACCAACTGTGTCCAGCTAACTCACTGGAAACCCTAACACTACTCAGGGACCAATAACATTAGTATTATACTCTAGAGGCAACTCTAGGAATTCAAGTCAAGGTAATCAAGGTTTAAAAAAAAAGACAGACATCGTAAAAATCCAAGGCCTATAATATGGTGTCTATTATAACAAAAGAGTGCTTTAAAAAATTTAATTAACTCCTGTGTATTTATTTATCCCAAATCAACTCAAAGTAGTACCCTAAGTTTAAAAAAAATATGTTTTAATAATTACATAAGTTACTATTGGTTGGTTGATACTGAGAGATAGACCTGTTATCTTCATCTGATAACTCTAAAAGTTAACTCCCACAGCAAATTTTTCTTTGACCTTAAAATTCTATTAAATATGAAATAAGAATGGGTGTGTTTGAAAGTTATATTTTTCTTTCTTCATTAAATTTTCCCTGGTGAACTTTCTTTCTGAGTGGATCAAGATGTTTGATAAATTATATAACTTATCTTAAAACTTAAATTCATTAACTTCTTTACATATTCCGTGTTTTATTGACGGAATACCTCTATTTACATAAAGATTCTTTGCAATATCATTTATGGTAAAAACAAGTATACAAACCAAAAAGAAATAGCAACCTAGTGGATGTTGAATACAAAACCCACCTACTTTTAAACACATCCACTAAAACGTTATACATAATTAATAGTTCATGATGTAATACAAAATAACATGTTTGAATTAAAGATGTTCAATGGAATTAGGATCAACAATGTTTTTTTTTGAAATGAGACTTTTAAAAATACTTATGAAAATAAAAAACGTAAAAAGCAATAGCCATATGGCATAATGTATAAAACAGCCACTAGCTTCAAGTGTCCAACTATACTGAAATGTTTCCATCAATAGATGACTGACTGCTGCTAATAATGAAATAAATTTAAACTGCTACTTTTTAATCTGACCTTTTTATGTGGAGAATTTGGGAACCCATTGTAAAAACCAATCTCAGGTTTAAAATGAGATTCTTGAGTCCACTATCAATAACCTGCCAAATAAAAACTGAAGTTACTTGACAAAAAGTGCATTCAAATAACCCACTTATTTTTATATAAGAGCCATACATTCACACTTAGTGAATTATTATTTGTGATATCTAAGTTTTTATTTATTTAATGTTTTGGTGAAGGAGATTATAGCTTTATTTATTAAAGTGGGGTTTCTTTTAATGTACTTAACATTTTCAGTTTGCTGAGAGAGTATGAATGTAAGTGTAAGATAATTAAGCCGATGATTCAACTATATGCCGTCTTCAGCAGACAATATCTGTTTGAAGGCACAAGTTTAATTTTAATTTAAATTTATTTGTTATATTGTTTTGTCCTCATTGAAATGTTTTGTCTGCTGAAGACGGCATCTAGACTAAAGCATGTGCTTAATTATCTTGTCTTTTATTTTTAAGCCTAAACAATCTTGTTCCACTATTGACAGTCATCATTCATTAGGTCTATAGTATAGTGTTGGTTTATCTCAGTTATGTCATTTAATTGTTATGAACATTTTGGTTGGGAGCAAATAACTTTTATGCCCTGCCGGACCAACTGTTGTATGCCTTCTGGCTAGACACTGTTTACTGTCTGACCTGGCACATAGCAGGATTATTCTTTTCCTGTTTTGTGCCCATTTTTGTAATTTTATTTTCTTGTTTAAAAATAAACAAAGGTGATCATCGGATAAATAACTTTACACTGTACTAGATCTGAAGTTTTCAATGTCTACTCTGTACTAGATCTGAAGTTGTCAATGTGTCTACTCTGTACTAGATCTGAAGTTTTCAATGTCTACTCTGTACTAGATCTGAAGTTGTCAATGTGTCTACTCTGTACTAGATCTGAAGTTGTCAATGTGTCTACTCTGTACTAGATCTGAAGTTTTCAATGTGTCTACTCTGTACTAGATCTGAAGTTTTCAATGTGTCTACTCTGTACTAGATCTGAAGTTTTCAATGTGTCTACTCTGTACTAGATCTGAAGTTTTCAACGTGTCTACTCTGTACTAGATCTGAAGTTTTCAATGTGTCTACTCTGTACTAGATCTGAAGTTTTCAATGTGTCTACTCTGTACTAGATCTGAAGTTGTCAATGTGTCAACTCTGTACTAGATCTGAAGTTTTCAATGTCTACTCTGTACTAGATCTGAAGTTGTCAATGTGTCTACTCTGTACTAGATCTGAAGTTGTCAATGTGTCTACTCTGTACTAGATCTGAAGTTTTCAATGTGTCTACTCTGTACTAGATCTGAAGTTTTCAATGTGTCTACTCTGTACTAGATCTGAAGTTTTCAATGTGTCTACTCTGTACTAGATCTGAAGTTTTCAACGTGTCTACTCTGTACTAGATCTGAAGTTTTCAATGTGTCTACTCTGTACTAGATCTGAAGTTTTCAATGTGTCTACTCTGTACTAGATCTGAAGTTTTCAATGTGTCTACTCTGTACTAGATCTGAAGTTTTCAATGTGTCTACTCTGTACTAGATCTGAAGTTTTCAATGTGTCTACTCTGTACTAGATCTGAAGTTTTCAACGTGTCTACTCTGTACTAGATCTGAAGTTTTCAATGTGTCTACTCTGTACTAGATCTGAAGTTGTCACTGTCTACTCTGTACTAGATCTGAAGTTGTCACTGTCTACTCTGTACTAGATCTGAAGTTGTCAATATGTCTACTCTGTACTAGATCTGAAGTTGTCACTGTCTACTCTGTACTAGATCTGAAGTTGTCAATGTGTCTACTCTGTACTAGATCTGAAGTTGTCAATGTGTCTACTCTGTACTAGATCTGAAGTTTTCAATGTCTACTCTGTACTAGATCTGAAGTTTTCAATGTGTCTACTCTGTACTAGATCTGAAGTTGTCACTGTCTACTCTGTACTAGATCTGAAGTTTTCAATGTGTCTACTCTGTACTAGATCTGAAGTTGTCAATGTGTCTACTCTGTACTAGATCTGAAGTTGTCACTGTCCACTCTGTACTAGATCTGAAGTTGTCAATGTGTCTACTCTGTACTAGATCTGAAGTTTTCAATGTGTCTACTCTGTACTAGATCTGAAGTTTTTAATGTGTCTACACTGTACTAGATCTGAAGTTTTCAATGTGTCTACTCTGTACTAGATCTGAAGTTGTCAATGTGTCTACTCTGTACTAGATCTGAAGTTGTCAATGTCTACTCTGTACTAGATCTGAAGTTTTCAATGTGTCCACTCTGTACTAGATCTGAAGTTGTCACTGTCTACTCTGTACTAGATCTGAAGTTTTCAATGTCTACTCTGTACTAGATCTGAAGTTTTCAATGTGTCTACTCTGTACTAGATCTGAAGTTTTCAATGTCTACTCTGTACTAGATCTGAAATTGTCACTGTCTACTCTGTACTAGATCTGAAGTTGTCAATGTGTCTACTCTGTACTAGATCTGAAGTTTTCAATGTGTCTACTCTGTACTAGATCTGAAATTTTCAATGTGTCTACTCTGTACTAGATCTGAAGTTTTCAATGTGTCTACTCTGTACTTGAATGTTGCAGTTTAGATAGATCTAAAGTATTAAATGTGTCTACTCTGTACTAGATCTGAAGTTTTCAATGTCTACTCTGTACTAGATCTGAAGTTTTCAATGTGTCTACTCTGTACTAGATCTGAAGTTTTCAATGTCTACTCTGTACTAGATCTTAAGTTTTCAATGTGTCTACTCTGTACTAGATCTGAAGTTTTCAATGTGTCTACTCTGTACTACATCTGAAGTTTTAAACGTGTCTACTCCGTACTAGATCTGAAATTTTCAATGTGTCTACTCTCTACTAGATCTGAAGTTTTCAACGTGTCTACTCTGTACTAGAACTGAAGTTTTCAATGTGTCTACTCTGTACTTGAATGTTGCAGTTTAGATAGATCTAAAGTATTGAATGTGTCTACTCTGTACTAGATCTGAAGTTTTCAATGTCTACTCTGTACTAGATCTGAAGTTTTCAATGTGTCTACTCTGTACTAGATCTGAAGTTGTCAATGTCTACTCTGTACTAGATCTGAAGTTTTCAATGTGTCTACTCTGTACTAGATCTGAAGTTGTCAATATGTCTACTCTGTACTTGAATGTTGCAGTTTAGATAGATCTTAAGTTTTCAATGTGTCTACTCTGTACTAGATCTGAAGTTTTCAATGTCTACTCTGTACTAGATCTGAAGTTTTCAATGTCTACTCTGTACTAGATCTGAAGTTTTCAATGTGTCTACTCTGTACTAGATCTGAAGTTTTCAATGTGTCTACTCTGTACTAGTTCTGAAGTTTTCAACGTGTCTACTCTGTACTAGATCTGAAATTTTCAATGTGTCTACTCTGTACTAGATCTGAAGTTTTCAATGTGTCTACTCTGTACTTGAATGCAGTTTAGATAGATCTAAAGTATTCAATGTGTCTACTCTGTACTTGAATGTTGCAGTTTAGATAGATCTGAAGTTTTCAATGTGTCTACTCTGTACTTGAATGTTGCAGTTTAGATAGATCTAACGTATTCAATGTGTCTACTCTGTACTTGAATGTTTCAGTTTGGATAGATCTAAAGTATTCAAAGTCTCTACTCTGTACGTGAATGTTTCAGTTTGGATATATCTAAAGTATTCAATGTGTCTACTCTGTACATGAATGTTGCAGCTCCTATAACCCTCCCTTACTCCCAACTTTAATAACGCCCTCCCCATGTTCGCTCCTTCCCCAGCCAGATTTCAATAGTTTTCCGCCTGGGCGTTGATTCTCCATTTCCTGTGTCCACACACTGTATGTCAGGATGCCCCTTATAGCTTTTACCGGCTTGTGATCCACCACAATTTATGGCACACCTTCTCTCTCCCCCCCCCCCCCCCCCCCCCCCCCAATTTGTTTGCTCTCGTCAGCTGACCTGAAATGAGCGTGTGCTTGGGAGAAATGCTTTTTACAAGCCTCTGGTGTGTGTCAATGTAGTTTTATTAAGAATTTTACTCAAAATCTTACCAATTCTCTTAGGGCATTATTTACAAATCGCTCATCAGCGTGTGTGATGAGTATAGACTGTAGACAGTAATGAAGTCATTAAGTCTGCATTGTTAGTTCATTGATACAGCGGCATTATGCATTAATCACGCACCGGCGGGGACAAGTTCTTCTGACATTGACAGTGAATGAGGTGATTTGCTCTGCATTCCACGCTCTGCATTCCATGGTCAATGCTAGCAAACATCAATTCCTCCTGTGGTGCACTAACTTTGTCAAGCGCACAGCTACTACTACTACCCTTTATTTCAGAGTTCATCACTGAGCGCATGCTTTTATTGATGACTAACGCAGTGTCAATCATTGGCAGTCCTGATGGATGGATCAGATTCATGTCGTTCATTGCACCAAGTTAACAGCTAATACTCTTTTTGGGAACTAAAATGTCTAAATCAATTGTTGCCATGTGATGTAGAACTCGGCCCTCTCTCTGGCCCAACTAAATCGTTTAATGCCCTGTGCGCGAGGCTTCCATCCTTGACATGGATTTTAATAAGTGTGTGGGGGGGGGGGGGGGGGGCTCAAAACATAGGACATCAGCATTTCAAACTAGTGTAAAAGTGTCGTCTGACATGGGTATATGAAAATCGTATCCAGTGCCCTACATGTCAATACCAGGGGATCCCCTCGACATCCCAAAAGGCCCGTCTGTCACACAGTGTGGGCGGAACAAGATCTCTATGCCTCATGACAGCTACCAGTCCTACGACGAGTATGTGCTTTAACAAGGGTGGGCTTTCTATGGTCCACGGGCCACATGCGGCCTGCTGAAACGGTTAATGTGACCCACAAGATTTTCCGGGACTGGATTAAACGCTCTCTTAAAATGTACATACTGTAAATGCATTTGAAAGTTAATATCAGTGTATCAATGTCAAACTCTCAAAATGACAATTCGTAGCAAATTTTATTTAAAAAATCATTCTAAATTATTTTATTAATGATGTGTATGAGGTAGATTTAAAATTATCACTCTCCCTCCCCCCCCCCCCCCCCCCCCAAAAAAAAAAAAAACAAAAAAAAAACATCACTTCCATACGACCGAAACAAGGGTTGCCAACTCCTGTTCCTGATTTATTCAGTGGTACATCTGAACTGATTCGTCTTGATTGTGCTGCTGTACACTTCAGTGGCCGAGTTGATTGACCTGTTGGTTACTCATGTTAGAGCCCGGACACAAACTTGATATTTTGATAAAGTTCTTTATGTGTTGATATCTTTATATTGATAACCTCTGTGTGGATGTAAAGTACGATCGTTCCAAACTGAGGTTTGTCTTTCATGTGCACATGTTGACGTTTTTTTTGGTGGTTCAGATCATAAATGATCGAATACTTTTAAATAATACACAAGTCAATATTTCGGCACGTGCCTTCTTCAGTACAAGAAAAATAAGTATACATTAAATGTACCGGTACTTAATATATATATATATACACACACATCTATCCGTTTTTTCACGATCGTACCCGGTGTCCCGAAAAACTCTCTTGGGGACGCCTTAATGTCCCGGTTCTAAAACCAAACACATTTTCAATTCACTAAAACTTCCTAATTGATAATATAAATTCAAGTTATATTTTGGCCAGCTGTGTAGCCAGTGCCAGTAGTGATGTGGTCTCGCGTGATGGCTGCATTTAATTTGTTGTATAGTATAAATGTTGTAAAATATGTATAAATAAATAAGCATTCACTGCAAAATTATTGTTTTCGTTTATGATTTGCCTCAGAGTTTATACAACAAATTAAAAAATTGAAGGTTAATTTTAAAAGATTTCTAGGTCTCAAAATAGTTAAAATGAGCATATTTCAATAAACAGTTTCCGGCGGAGGCCCCCTGACCCCTCTTTAGCTGGAGGGTATCCCCCCTCCCCCAACCTACCTTGGGTGTGTCCCGTTTGTCCAGTTGCCAGTTGATGATTTGGTCACCCTAATGTAGACGTCAATGTTGTTCCCATGAGGATCGTTATAAAATGTTTCAACTTCAACAGACGGAATGGGATTTAAAGACGTTTACACCCCCCCCCCACCCCCCTCTTTTTAAATTAAACGATTGATCATTAGAGATTGTAGCTTTTAATGTCGCTATATTTAGATTTAAAGAAAACACTGATAACTTAGCACAGCACGGGATCAACACGACACAGCCCTCTGTTTATCATTATTATGTTATCGCTTCGAAAACCGTTTCCCAGTTTACGTCACCAGCGCCGTCATATGAGTCACACAGATTTTTTTTTCTTCTTCTAAAGTTGTGATTATCTTTCTTTTTTTTCAGTACATGTATGAGAAAATAGGTCATACGTGTTTGAATAAATGTTCATTATTGTCAAATACAGGAATGGAATATTTTATTTGAAGTCGCGTCCCCTGTGTGGCTTGTGGATTAAGTGGCGTCGCCCCCGACCCCCTCGACGTTAGCCAGGGAACAAGACCACTGTGGGCAGACAAGGGACGTGCGCTAAAGGGCTGCCAGCTGTGAGGCTTAGTAGGGATCATGATTACAAGTTGCCGTTAATGGATATGAGGCGAGAGGCGAAGGTGGTGACCTCTGGCCGATGATTCTTACTATGCAGCCCTGAGAAGCTGCTCCAAGGCAACCGTTTCGTCCCAGCTACCTCTGAAATTAGTTGCGACATGGAAACCCCCTGTAGAAACCCTCTTAAAGGGCGTCACACGCTTCCCTGGGATGGGTGGGGGGAAGATATTAGGACATAAATTTACCATCTCGGCTCCTGAGAAAGTCAACTGTGTGCAAGCACAGTGTCGGACCGACTGGGTGACTTTGGGTTGGGGGGGACCCCATTGAGCGGACTCGGGTGGGGGCTGTCCTGGCAAAGAGGCATCTCCGACGTGCCGCTTCGCCGCCCGATATCGGGCTTGGGAGGGCATAAAGAGCATTAGCTCGACGGCCCGCTGACGCCATTTCTTAAAGTGACATTTGAAGCCGAGTTTTTAATTTTTTTTTACACAAATGAATGAATGAATGTCATTACGTCAGCGTTAGGGGAATTCGGTTCTGACGACTCCATTATTTAGACTGGCGAATTAGACTTGGCAGGTCTGACAGAAACATAACAAGCTTGTCAACACCCTGAGGGCTGATGTGATGGGATAGGCCGGATAGAAACATAAATACCGGGTACATGTCATCACACTGCTGGCTGATGTGATAGAAACATAAATACCGGGTACATGTCATCACACTGCTGGCTGATGTGATAGAAACATAAATACCGGGTACATGTCATCACCCTGCTGGCTGCAGTGATAGAAACATAAATACTGGGTACATGTCATCACACTGCTGGCTGATGTGATAGAAACATAAATACCGGGTACATGTCATCACGCTGCTGGCTGATGTGATAGAAACATAAATACCGGGTACATGTCATCACGCTGCTGGCTGATGTGATAGAAACATAAATACCGGGTACATGTCATCACGCTGCTGGCTGATGTGATAGAAACATAAATACCGGGTACATGTCATCACACTGCTGGCTGATGTGATAGAAACATAAATACCGGGTACATGTCATCACACTGCTGGCTGCAGTGATAGAAACATAAATACCGGGTACATGTCATCACACTGCTGGCTGATGTGATAGAAACATAAATACCGGGTACATGTCATCACACTGCTGGCTGATGTGATAGAAACATAAATACCGGGTACATGTCATCACACTGCTGGCTGCAGTGATAGAAACATAAATACCGGGTACATGTCATCACACTGCTGGCTGATGTGATAGAAACATAAATACCGGGTACATGTCATCACACTGCTGGCTGATGTGATAGAAACATAAATACTGGGTACATGTCATCACACTGCTGGCTGATGTGATAGAAACATAAATACCGGGTACATGTCATCACGCTGCTGGCTGATGTGATAGAAACATAAATACTGGGTACATGTCATCACGCTGCTGGCTGCAGTGATAGAAACATAAATACCGGGTACATGTCATCACCCTGCTGGCTGATGTGATAGAAACATAAATACCGGGTACATGTCATCACACTGCTGGCTGCAGTGATAGAAACATAAATACTGGGTACATGTCATCACGCTGCTGGCTGCAGTGATAGAAACATAAATACCGGGTACATGTCATCACACTGCTGGCTGCAGTGATAGAAACATAAATACCGGGTACATGTCATCACACTGCTGGCTGATGTGATAGAAACATAAATACTGGGTACATGTCATCACACTGCTGGCTGATGTGATAGAAACTTATGTGTCGACAAGCTGGAATGAGTTCAATGGGACAGTTCTGTGGATCATATGTAGCAGAATGAGATACATTTACAACTTTTATACATTACGACTACAAGCGTAGCAGTTCTATCGAAATGCATATTTTCTGCAAAGAAGTGGCTATTCGGACCCGGGTCAGAGAAGTTAAGAGGTTGGGATTAAAAAATTAAAAAAATATATTATTGGTGGGTTGTAAGGCAATATTTGGTATCAAATTGAATGGACTATATGATTATATATTTAATTCTTCAGTTTAACTGAAATAAACTACCACAAATGACATCCGAATAGCCTTGAGTCCAAAGGGACCCGGGTCCGAATAGCAGCGCTGCATTTTCGGTTCCATTTTGTCTAAATGCTATTTCGAATGTCATTTGTGGTAGTTTATTTTAGTTAAACTTAAGTTTACAAACATATAGTCATGTAGTCCATTCCATTATCTTTCATTTGATACCAAATTTTGTCTGAATAACCCTACAATAATTTTTAAATATTTGTTTAATAAAATCTAACGTCTCGGACCCCGGTCCGAATAGCCGCAGCCTTTCTGCAATAATAGATTCCGATTTTGAGTTAGGGTCACTTAATAAATGGTAAATGGGAGGTGTAAACATGGATAAGGCCATACCTGGAAGTGTGACTAGGTCCATCTGACGCAGGCGTCAGCTGTGGATATGGTACCATGAATGGTTAAGAGAACACAATTGGATGCATCAACCAGGTAGAGTCGTTATTTCAGAGTAAATTAAAATGGGCATCCTCATTTGTTTTAAGATGACAATCTCAATTTGCTGTAATCAATAATGGTGGTCTGTGAATAGAAAATATTGCACCTTAAGAACCAGGCTACGATCACTGACAAAGTAGCCGATGTCCACTTGATCACGGTTGATCACGGCTTAGGTATGTTTTGTAGATACAGCACCCTAACCCAGCTTCATCAGGTTTACTATTGTCTTGGTTCAGGATATGATGCACCTGGTGTTAGCCGTACATAATAAAGTAAGATGAATCGCGTGCATTAGGTCAATGACTTATTTATTCAACAGAGATTTGGTATTGAACTTGTTGATCTGTGTACATGTTCTGTCTGCTCTTAAATTTATCTTAGCATGGATAATTTAACTTTTTTGATGTGATCTAATACATTTTGGCCTTCCTGCTTAGTATTGGTAGGTCATTTTCATTTTTCTTCTTCAAAATTCTGCTGTGAATTGAAATCAACAAGTTTGTTCTTATATTTGGAAACTCAATACGGCAGTGACTTGTAATGAATGTCACAAATGACTGGGGCGGGGGTACAGGAGAGAGCTCCATTGGGCGGGAGTTATTGTTATTTTAGAGAAGACATTGTTAAGGGAGTGACGTTAAGGGTAATAGATTCTCACATCTTGAGATAGAAGGGATTGTTTCTTTCGATAATGTCATGTTTGGGGCTTTCCATGACTTCGCATGATAATTTTTGGTTTGAGGGGAAATTATAATTAATCAGAAATTAGGGTCAGGGATGTGGTAATTGAGAGCATTCCTGGGCCACCTATTGAGTTAGAGAATCTCATATAAGACAGAACTTTTCAAGTTAGATGGTTAGTTGAGGAAGAGAGAAAAGAGCTACGATAGAGTTGAGGTAGAGAGAAAGAAGAGCTGAGAGAGCAGTTCATAGGGAATAGCTGCAAGAGAGGAGTCAGGAGATGACAGTTGACCAGTTGACATAGGAATAGTTGAAAGGATACAGTTGAACAGTTCAGTCATAGATAGCTGACAGTAAGTGAAGACTACAGAAGTACTTTATATTTTAGTAATAAAAATAGTCTATTTTATCATAGGACACCTGGAGTTTGAGTTGTTGGATTTCGTTCAAGTCTACGTTGTGCTTTTGTCTGTCCCAACGCTTAGACACCCACAATATAAATCTCAGAGAGGAGCAGTCCTGTACTGACCACTACTTAGTCAATATAGTTTTTGATATGTCATGACAGGAGCTCTCCTCCGTAACAACCGTTCTGTGACAATGAACAGGTTTGTTTTTATATTTGGAAACTCAATTTTACAGTGAATTAACATGTTTGTTTTTGTATTTGAAAACTCATCCAAAGTTTTTAACTTTTCTATCAAATATTTTTTGTAACGCAAGTAAGTTCATAAATGTTGAATTCCATTTGTGTAGCTGGGAAAGAAACTTTAAAAACTGACCTCCTTCTCCCTTTTAAAAAGTCAGATTATTTATATGTTATGCTTGACACTTTTCCCAGTGCGTGAACTTTGCTTGACCCAAATTAGATTCCTAGCACACGCTAAGTTCATAGATGGGCATGGCTTATCTCTTTGATGTATCGTGTTTACTACCAACTAGCTATTAAACATGGTTAGTGTCTCCTAGTATCTTGTCGAATGATCGCGATTTGTTCTAGAAACGTAAACAAATGCTGAGTAGTTTCTGGAAGGTAGTGCTTACGCTGCATATATAAAGGGATTGACAGAGATTGAGATTGAGAGAGATTCATATAGATATTACTAACTTTACGAGACAATTGTATTATTCTTTGTGTGCCCATAAGTATTTATTCATCATTCATCATTATTAATTGGCACATTGTACTAATTGTGTACCGGTACAAGATTTTCCCATACTCTGTAAGTTGATGATTTGTAATTATATTTTCTTTTGTTTTGTAATTGTATTATTACTGAATTAAATCTTATTAATTGTAATTGGTACTGTTTTGGGTGTCATATATTTGTTATTGTTTTTCTCTATGTTATCGTCCTTAGATAGGCACTGTTTGAACGAGCCATAAATTTAAAATCGGCGATTAATTTGTCACAATAGTGACATAGACACATAAGTCACATCTTGACAACAAGAATTGTCCATTTGCAAACATGAAGGCTTTATAGCTGATACAATCATGAAAAATGAAAGTATAATGAGACAGTATGATGGAAACAATAGATTTTTTCTTGTGCAAGGAGAGAAATATATGGACTTGAAGTGTGTGGTAGAGAACAGAACAGTTGATTAAAGGCAATATTGGTTGTGGGTTGTTGTCTCAGACTGCTTTGTTTTCATTAAAAAAATAATAAAAAATATCGATTTAGCCTTTACACTGGTTGTAAATCTTAATTATTGTAAATGTTGGTTTTGGGGGAGGGTCAATACTTGATCAGAACATGCTAGAAAGTGAAAACTAATGAAAATCTGCTTAGTTAGGTTTAGGTATGTTTCTATTTTATTGACCCGGGGTGGGCAACCCTATTGACAACCATCACATGCGGCAAATGGACCTAAGAGTGACAAATGTAAAAACTCTTTTTATAATAAGCAGCTAAGCATTTGCACAAATGTGCACACAGACAGTATGTTGTTGCATACTTAAACCGGTCTATTTGCAACTTCATGATGAAGTTCATTTATTTCTTTTAAAGGTGGACAATTTGGCTCAGTGAATTAGCAGTCTCTCAAATGGGGTAGTCAAGTTGACACAGATCCCAAATGATTGATGTGAATCTAGGAGTAGAGATGAGGTCTGCCTTGAATCCATTGAGATGAACCAAAGTTGTGCAGCTTGATAATGAAAATGAATGTTAAATCTTTGATTAAATTTTTGTTAAAATATGATTAACAGCTTATTTTTTCGTTTCATTTTATTTAGTAAAAGAATTTCATGATTTCTATACAGTGTGTGGCCAATTTGACATTTCATTTCCCACAAATGTGGCTTTTGTTTTGTGGCCAAAAAAATGTATCATTTTAACTATGAAAAAGGTCCTCTCCCCCCAAATTTGATCTGACCATTTTATAAGAAGATCAAAGTAACTTAATTGTACATTACCCCAACATCAAATATTCTTTCCATACTTAAAAACCATCCCTCAAGTGTGCAAGGTGGCTTTTACCCTTCATGTTTGGAAATCATCTTTGATAAAAGTCTAGTTCTTGTTTTTCTTTTTTTTTTAGAACTTTTCAATGTCTCACTGACATAAGAAGCATTTGGGCTGGCAAATAGTTTTTTTTGCTGTCGATAATTGCGTTGCTTCCACATAAAATATACACTTTAAATACAACACGATTGTAGGCACCATCAAGAGTTCACCTTTAGCTCTTTAAAAAAATCAACCTACCTATATATTTACAAGCTGTATGGTGTCCGCAAGTGGATGTTTTTCACACATAGTTTGAAATCTGTTAAATTTATCACCAAGACCTGTGGTGTATTGATGGATTACTTGCTTGGATGTGTTAGAGTCTTGGTTTGGCACCCGACAGAGGAACATTTTTTACCTTCCAAACCCTCATTTATTAATTTGGTTATTGTACTGTTTTTCATTTTTTAAAAATGATAAGTAAATCCTAGCACACTTTATAATTTAACTTAAAATAAATGTTTGGAAGAAATAAAAATATCATGCATGGTAAATAAGATTCTATTTCCTTATTTTTAATGGGTCATTTGTAAAAATCTAACGATTTTGATTTATTTGTTCCTCAGACTCTTGCTTCAAAAACAATAGGGATCAGTGCTTTCCAAACTCTGCATTGGTTGTTTGGTGTGAAAGCTAGGAGTCGTTGGTCTACCCCTGATTCATGTACAAACGTGATTTACTTCAATGTAGTAATGCTTTGGATTTTTGAATTGTATCCTGAGGGAACCTTTGTGAAAGTGTAATATTTCTGAGATGATGGTTTTTCTTGTGATTCAGCTGAGATGGCAACAGATCTGAAGGATAATCCTATTCACCATCACCTTCACTGCTCAGATATTCAAGTTCACTCCACTGCCAAACATCCCCACCACCAGCCTCCCTTGCCAGTGCCTGTTCACCACCCTCTGCCACTCCCGGTCTACCAGCCTCACTATCTCCCTACAACCAGGCTAAGTACTTCTACTGCTGAATTGGAAGTAAATGGCAACTACACTGAGAGTCTGGAGCTGAGAATGCCGGGGTATGCTTGCCGATGTGACATTAATGGGGGGATGGATTGTCAGGAAACTCTTGATCCTGGCACCCTCGAGAAGGAAACTGGACTCCCCTATGTTGTGGCTGATGGGGCCCTAAGGTCCTTGTCCTGTCACAAATGTCATTCGGCCAGAGTGGCTTTTCAAATAGGAGTTGCAGGTGAGGATTTACAAAACTCTCTGGCCAGGAAGCGCAGGGGTTCCAGTAATGGTAGTTTTGATGGCTCTTTGGAAAAAATTGACGAAGACCAAGTGTCTACCAACACTTCGCACTACACATTTCCTTCGCACTACCTTGAAAGAAGCTTATCAAATTCTTCAGTTGAAAAAACTTTAGCCCAACACAGAACTATTGAGAGTTTTCAGGTTGCTATTTCAGCTGCCAACTCTGTAAATTATATGGGAGAGGTTGGGGGCGTCAAAATTAATGGCATACCGTCCCCTCCCACATCATCCTGCTCCTCTTCCCCCTCATCCTCAGTCAAAGACTTCAGCCCTTTGCCACAGATCAATGAGATATTGCCTGAAGATATTTGCTCCGACGTGAATGACAGCATCATTTCTTTGACCTTACAAGCAGAGAACGAGCCTGAGGTTGACCAGTCGCAGAATGCCTCCATTGGAGCTGGAGGGGGCATGGGTGACTTGATAACAGACAAGCTGTCTCCAGAGGATTTATCTATAGCACAGAAAACGTTAGACTCAGGCTCTCTGTGTCTTCCTTTGCCATTCAGATTTCTCAAAAACTCGCCAGCTTCATCCTCGAAAGATAGAAATCTCAGTGACAAACCGCCAGCCGGCCCAACCAACAGCCACCGAAGTAAAGGTCGTCCTCCACCAAGGCAGTCTTGGTTGCTCAGACTGTTTGAGTCAAAAATGTTTGACATGAATATAGCAATCACATACCTGTATAATTCAAAGGAACCTGGAGTGCAAACCTATATAGGTAAGAAATCCCCCCCCCCCCTCTTAAATTTAATAGTGCTTTAAAGAGAGTTTGTGCTTGGTTAATTGAGCAGAGAATCAAGTCCTGAACTACCCACAGAATTAATTACATTTTAACAACACAAAGGAACCTGGAGTGCAAACCTATATAGGTAAGAAATCCCCCCCCCCCCCTCTTAAATTTAATAGTGCTTTAAAGAGAGTTTGTGCTTGGTTAATTGAGCAGAGAATCAAGTCCTGAACTACCCACAGAATTAATTACATTTTAACAACCATGTTATTTCTGTTTTTAAAAAAATCTCTATGAAAAGTGGTTGATCTTAAAATATGTTCTATTTTATTACTAAAGACAAGTATTGATCCTTTCAGAACAGGCAGAAAGGGAAAATTCATGAAAATCTGCTTAGTAAGGTTTGGGTATGTTAATGTTATTTTTACTCGGGGTGGGCAACCCTGTTGACAACCATCACATGTAATAAAAAGTATTGTGTAAAGTGGTTCTCAAGTTGGTGGATCAACACATGTGCTGCAGTTTTATGGTGGTCTGCATGCTGAAACTGGAGATGGGAATCAAAAAGAACTCTCCGAATTCAAACCATGTGGACCATCGAACCAATCACGAACTTCAACATCACTTTGGGGGCGTCCATTAATGACGTAAAAAAAAAAGGGGGGGGGGGGTTGAATGTTTGACAGTTGTTGACAAGGATGAAGGTTTTTTTTTTAGATTAGTTGATGTCAACAATCATGTTCTTCTATTAGAATTTTAATCTTAAAAATTGTCTTGTACTTACATTATTTTAAACAATTTAATGAGTGTAAATAGTCATATATGTTTAGCTTTTAACAATATAAGAGTTTTTAATATGAGTCTGTCTGTGCAGTGAAGATGGTTGGTAAGAATGTTAGCAGACTTTGTTAGTGCAAGAGAAGTCAAAAGTTGGAATCTCTTCACTTGTCATTTTCCTCTAAATCCGCTCTCTAGAATGATTAACACATCATTGTACACAGTGTTTAATTTAAATAAAACACCAACTCATCTGTGTTCAATAACAACTCTACCAACCCAAAGACAGAGAGAGCAACTATTGAAATAACAACTATACCAACTCAAAGACAGAGAGAGCTAATGGCAATTATTGCTCACACCGACAATACTCCATTTCAAGTGCTGAATGGTTAGATAAGGATGATGTTGACTTGTCTGGTGTATCAGTTCCACAAGATGAAAATGGTAAATCAGCTACTATACACAATGCCCATCAGGGGTGTCATTTCAGGTTTTTTTCAAGGGAAGGGAGGGGGGGTCAAAACCAAAATTGGGTGGGCTTGTTAAGTTGTTTATTACTGAAGGCGCAACAGTACATAGCAATTTAAATAAAACCAGCAAAACGGGGGGAGGGGGGGGGATTGCTCCCCCTGCCCTACAAAAATGATGTCCCTGATGCCCATTGTTAAGATACAGCAACAACTGGCTACTTTATGGGAAGATAATAGCAGCTAGAAACTATGCTATAATTGTCTGCTGTACTGACAAGAATCAGATTTATACTTCCACAAACAATGATATTTAGTCCTTAAAAAAGTTTGTTTCTGCATTATAAAATTTAAGTGCAAAAACTTTTTAACCTGTTGATTAACAAGCTAAACATGTAATAAAATGATTTCATTACAATTGTATGTGTCATTTAAATAGATCAGCACAAAGTAAAATGTAAATTGAAAGTTTGACAGTTGTTGACAGTGGGGGGGGGGGAGGTAAAACAAATGCATAAAAATTGTTGATGTAATTAATGGACGACCCCTTAGTACAAACTTAGCGAGCTTATCTCCAACTTATTCGTAAATGTTTTACGAAATCGACACATCACTACTTACGCCACCAATGCTTATCGTTTAATTAAAACCAGAAAACCCAATTGAAAAACGAAAGGATCTTTTTTTATCATCTCTTCTTGAAACTTCTGCTATAGAGGGGGTGGGGGAGCTGGTGTGAGACTGGGGAGGTTAACCCTTCCTCAAATGCTTTTGCTGAGGCCACACTTCAGTATTTGTATGAGTACTATTACCTACCAGTGACTTGTTGATTAGGAATAAGATAGTCCATCTATACATAAAACCTCTATCTACCAATAAGTTGTGTCTTATGGATTAGACCAGGGGTCTCCAAACTTTTCAGCCCGAGGGCCGCATTAACTGTCCAACAGTAGTTCGCGGGCCGACTGCACACTCGAGCAGGGTTTCTGTCAGCATTATCTCGCGTGAGGGCGCCAGCAGATTCATTGTTGGAAATAGTTTTGCTCGGGGGGGGGGGGGGGGCACTTGGCTTTCCCTCGGCTGATTTACAAGTGCCTTTTCAATAGAGTGTTCCACCAAGTGACGCGTATACTGCTATGTAAGATTAACTTCACCAAGTAGAACAACGTGAAATTACGGACATCGTGTAAAAGACATTGTGCTGTATGACATTCATGCTCAAATGTTAAGAGGCGGTGCTAGTGACAAATAGACCCAAAAAAAAAAAAAAAATTTGTTAGCATTTCTCGGTTTCGATATATTTTGTTTTAAAAAAAATATATACATTAAATTTAAATAAATTTATATTAATTATTAAAAGATGTTAAATTTTGTAAAATATCATATTGTTAATTAAACATTCATTTTTTTATGTTTTTAATTTTTACTGATTCGATTCATGTATTTATCGCCCGACCAATGGAAAGTTTTATTTCTGAGAATTTAGATAAAAGTAACTTCCTGTCACTTAAGAAAGTTACCGAACACTTCAATCGGCGTTGAATCATGGCAAGAAGCCAGTATAGGAGCTGCTCATTCCTACCCAATACAATTAGGGACTGGAACAAGCTTTCAAAAGGAACAGTTGAGGCGACGACACTAGACACATTTGCGTCTATTGCCTTAAGCCTTCAAACTCCCAGTGCATGATTCCCTCACAAAGTAACACTTGCAATCAGTGAAATATCGTCATCAACACCAGGCACAGAAACATTGCAAATCCCTCTACGTGCATATGAGCCAAAATGATCACTAAATTGATCGTGGGCCCTCAATAGAAGAAGAAACTGTGTTTTCTGACCTAATTATAGGGTCACCTCATTTCTGGCGCATTAACCTTGAACTTTTAATAAAACATGCATTTGGATTGGTTACAAGTGTGGAAAATTGACGTGTGATCGGTAACCCTTTTATGAAATTCGGTTGGACCGAGCAGTGCCGGTATGGGCTTTGTTAATATGCAATTTTTCAATTTGGTGTCACCCGATGCGGTCCGCACCCCCTAGCTACGCCACTGATTGTAACGTATGCTTATGAAACTTGGACCCTAACAAAATCGGCAAAAAAAAACAAACAAAAAAACCAAACTATTAAACACATGACAGAAAAGTTTTCCGTAAAATATGGAAAATCTATGGACCAACAAATGATGAATATGGATGGTGAATACGTTACAACCAGGAATTGTATAGCCTATAACAGGAACGCTAGTAGCAGACAGAATCAAACAACCCCTAAAAACAAAGTTTTTCCTATAAATCTTTGATAAAAAGTCATATATAGCACTGAGGGGACAGCTGAAACTTGACAACACGTGCATACACGTGACGCACTTAAGAAGAATTCCAATGATGGCGTCCCCCCTCCCCGGCTCGCAAATGCACATTTTTTTCACGCCCCTGAACTATATTAATATTTAATGATCTACCTGTTTGTACACTGCAGATTTATTTGACAATGTTTCCAAACTATAGGAACATATTACGCACCAAACGCACTTGCAATATTTGTTTTTTTAAAATAAATTATAAATGAGTGCAGTTATCTGGCGTTTATTTCGTTAAGTCATAGTTCCTTTATCTTCCTCTTGAAAAAGAGGGAAAACTGAGGGGGTGGGACTGAACATTAGATAGAATGTGGTGTCATCAGCAACGAGTTTCACTGCCAAGTTTCAGCTTGATACGTTGACGGGAAGTGGGTCAGTAGAGCTGTCCAAAGATTTTGCCAACCACCCAGCATTGAGCAAAGGCGATGTTAATGTAAAGGATTTTAAAAAGAATGCCAAATGACAGAAACTTGAAGGTGCACCACCAAAACCCCAGAGGAAAACGGCTCAAGGACACACCTAGGCTTAGATGGTTGGATGATCTGGGGAAAAGATCTACAGCAGCTGGGAATCAAGTACTGAAAAGAAAAACATAAGGTCTTGAGGGGAAGATAGTGGTGAGGCATGCCAAAGCCCTACAAAGGCTTGTAGCGCCACATCGATTGATTGTCTGATTTACAGTATTCAATTACCTTTTTCCCCTTTGTAGAACATGCATTGAAGTTGACAAAATAAGAGTCCAGAAAACAACGTGCCTGGATGGTGGTCTCTAGTTTCTGTAATGACGGGTTCATTCTTTGTTGTTGGAGCACATTCAGACATGGCTTGAATTGACAACCACTCGTTGCTATTGATGGTAATCTTTCCTTTCAGGTAACAGAATGTTTAGCTTTGAAGATTATGAGGTGGACTTTTACCTGCCCCAACTGCTCAATATGTACATTCACATGCACGACGTTGCTGAAGCTATTCATCCTTATCTAGTCCACAGGTGAGTAAGCTCAACTAAGATGAACATTTTTACTGCAGTCACGCTAAACACACCTCTTGTCTTAATGAGCTACTTCAAAAATACATGTAAAAAAAAAAATAAATATTGCTAGGTAACCAGTGGCGTAGAAAGGGGGTGTAAAACTTTTACTAAAAGGATTAATGTAAAGGATTTTAAAAGGGACCGGTCCACCCTACAATGTTTGTCCTAATATTAATGGGACATCATTTTCTGACACTTGCAGAGTTTTTTCGTTGAAGGGGGGAGGGGGTATTAAAAATTATCAGCCGCCCCGGGCGCCACTCACCCCTAGCTATGCCACTGTACTTTACTGTTTAAACAAACTGTTGTTTGATATTGTCACGACACTGTTTAGAATTGTTGTTAACTTTACTTTCTGTACTGTAGTGTGATGATTCATTGGACACTCCTAGCCTGAAAGAGTTTTTTGGGTTTTTTTTAACTCCCACTTACGTACACATTGATTTAAAAAAAAAAAAAAGACTTTCTTGACATAGACACATACTAAACGGTGCGAAACACGTCTGCACCGAATTAGTCAGTTTGTTATGTACCTCATTCATAGATACAAATGTATAATTATTTTCCTTTTTAAAGTTATTTACCCTTAACCTTGTTCATTGGCATTTTTGTGGGGGGGGGGGTGTCCAATGATTTTTAAAGGTTGTGAAGAACACAATTTATATTAAAAATTAGTTCCTTTTCTGTCTTAATTAATAGTTTGTATTTCAATCTGACTGATATAAACTTAAAATAAATTTTGCTCCAGTTATCATCTTGAATGGAGGTCAATCTTGTCAATCAAATGAGTTGAGATTCGTGAGTCGTCCGAGGTGAACATTAAATACAATAGCTAGTTTCACGCGTACCGAAACTCATGTGATCGCACAGAATTAAAGTAAAGAAACTGTTGATCGTGTAGCAGCTATCAATAGCGCTAACACATGGGGCTCTGAGTGTTGTATTGGTCCATCGATTTTTTTTTTGCTGGCTACGTTTGAAGTGGATTCATGTCTTTTCCCTTCGGAACTCAGTAGTTGAACTTGACTTTAAACTTTTTGGTGCCATCGATTTTTTTATGCTAGTCTTTATCGTAGGGTTCCTTAGTAGTATTTAATATCTTAACGGCTCCTGGTCTTATCCTAATCATGTCATAGCCTAGTATTCTTCTCCTAGCCATGTCATAGCCTTTACTTTTTCATGTCCAATAGTTATGTTCTAATAGTTTTCTGGTGTTTACAACATATAGCATTTTCTTTGTCATGTCCAATAGTTATGTTCTAATAGTTTTCTGGTGTTTACAACACATAGCATTTTCGGTCGGAGTAAGATATGGTGCACAGCCACCCTTTTCCACTAAAGAAGTTCCCATGTTCCTCACAGAGCCGCTCACCTCCTCCCCCCAGGTCCTCCAAAGAAGTTCCCATGTACCTCACAGAGCCACTCACCTCGTCCCCCATGGTCCTCCAAAGAAGTTCCCATGTTCCTCACAGAGCTACTCACCTCCTCCCCCCTTTTCCACTAAAGAAGTTCCCATGTTCCTCACAGAGCCACTCACCTCCTCCCCCCTTTTCCACTAAAGAAGTTCCCATTTTCCTCACAGAGCCACTCACCTCCTCTCCCCCCCGGGGATCAGGAGGTTTCTTCTTCCCTTTAGAGCAGTGTTTTTTCAACCTTCCTAATGCCGCGACCCTTTATACAGTTCCTTATGTTGTGGCGACCCCCACCACAAAATTATATTCGTTGCTACTTCATAACTGTAGAGTAGATGTATTTTCCTATTGTCTTAGGCGACCCACATGTTGACAACCGCTGCTTTAGAGCCACAGATCTCCCCTTGTCTCTCACATAGCCACACATGTCCCTCGAAGAAGCCCCTCCCTCCCACAGCCACACACATTCATATAGTACCCCCACAAAGACATCTATTTATTTCGCAGCTTCTAACTTCAAGTTCAAGGCGTATCTTGAGATAACATTGAGTCCACGAGCCTATCTTTACTGTCTATGGATAACCAAGAGACAGCTTGGACCAATGACTCCACATGGCATGAGTCACTCGGATTGTGAGGAGTTGGGAAAAGGGAGAGGGGAATGTGGTGACCGTATGTTGGATACTGATGTACTCCCTATCATGGGCACCCTCAGGGGGGGCAAGGGGGGCACTTGCCCCCCCCCCCCCGCTTGCTTGGCTAATTTTTTTTAGACCAAATACACAAAAAATGTATTAAAGTAAAGAGAAAAACCCCCAGAAAGTTTTCTGCCTACGCCCATGCTCCATATTATCACCAGAGGTCAAATGTGATGACTCATTTGTCCTCATGTCATTTATCGGATAATCCCTATCTGGTCTATGCCTGATCCCTCAGTTACCACCCTCATAACAACGTGGAGCTACCTTGGTTTGTCTCATTTGTAAACAGCGTTTAACTGGTTACTATTGGACTACACCGTATTATTGTTGCTTCTTACAACTGTTGTCACCATTACACTACTCCAAACTGAAGCTACCATTAAATTACTCGTGTAGCTACCTTTCAACTGCTCTAGATGGAGCTACCGTTAAACTGTACCGACGTTCGTTAGCGCCCCCCCCCCCTTTTTTTTTCTTCTCTGCTCTTACCCTATAGAGAAGGAAAGAAAGATACTCCTCCTGTCTCACTCTATGTATCTGCCCCATTCCTACTCACGCCTGCACCTCATATTTACACTAGGAATGTTGACAATGTAAACAACTAAGATATATCTTATAATCATCAAGTTTAGTCAATATTACTTGCAAACATCGGACAAGATACACACGCACTGACGTTTATAAATTATCGAGCTACAGAGAACGATTTAGCTTTTTTAAAATAAAATTTTAGGACTGTGTTCAGATAAGATGTTCATCTTCATTGTAAGATATTCAGCTTCATTGTAAGATATTCAGTTTTATTGTATAAGATATTTAGCTTCATTGTAAGATATTCAGTTTTATTGTATAAGATATTCAGCTTCATTGTATAAGATATTCAGCTTCATTGCATAAGATATTCAGCTTCATTGTATAAGATATTTAGCTTCATTGTAAGATATTCAGCTTCATTGTATAAGATATTCAGCTTCATTGTATAAGATATTCAGCTTCATTGTATAATATATTCAGCTTCATTGTATAATATATTCAGCTTCATTGTATAATATATTCAGCTTCATTGTATAAGATATTCAGCTTCATTGTATAAGATATTCAGCTTCATTGTTTAAGATATTCAGCTTCGGTGTATAAGATATTCAGCTTGGTTGTATAAGATATTCAGCTTGGTTGTATAAGATATTCAGCTTGGTTGTATAAGATATTCAGCTTGGTTGTATAAGATATTCAGCTTGGTTGTATAAGATATTCAGCTTGGTTGTATAAGATATTCAGCTTCGTTGTATAAGATATTCAGCTTCGTTGTATAAGATATTCAGCTTGGTTGTATAAGATATTCAGCTTCGTTGTATAAGATATTCAGCTTCGGTGTATAAGATATTCAGCTTGGTTGTATAAGATATTCAGCTTGGTTGTATAAGATATTCAGCTTGGTTGTATAAGATATTCAGCTTGGTTGTATAAGATATTCAGCTTGGTTGTATAAGATATTCAGCTTGGTTGTATAAGATATTCAGCTTGGTTGTATAAGATATTCAGCTTGGTTGTATAAGATATTCAGCTTGGTTGTATAAGATATTCAGCTTGGTTGTATAAGATATTCAGCTTGGTTGTATAAGATATTCAGCTTGGTTGTATAAGATATTCAGCTTGGTTGTATAAGATATTCAGCTTGGTTGTATAAGATATTCAGCTTGGTTGTATAAGATATTCAGCTTGGTTGTATAAGATATTCAGCTTGGTTGTATAAGATATTCAGCTTCGTTGTATAAGATATTCAGCTTCGTTGTATAAGATATTCAGCTTGGTTGTATAAGATATTCAGCTTGGTTGTATAAGATATTCAGCTTCGGTGTATAAGATATTCAGCTTGGTTGTATAAGATATTCAGCTTGGTTGTATAAGATATTCAGCTTCGGTGTATAAGATATTCAGCTTGGTTGTATAAGATATTCAGCTTGGTTGTATAAGATATTCAGCTTGGTTGTATAAGATATTCAGCTTGGTTGTATAAGATATTCAGCTTCATTGTATAAGATATTCAGCTTGGTTGTATAAGATATTCAGCTTCGGTGTATAAGATATTAGGCTTCCGTGTGTCCATGAAATACCTTTACTCTAAAACACGGGTACCAATGGTACAAAGCGTTGGCACATAGTGGTGCATGATTACCTATTACCAGTGGGGATTAAGCTGTAGAACATTAAATTATTTTATCATAGCTTACCTCTTTTGACGCCTTGCCCCCTCCATGATTACACATGATGAGTGGGGGATTACACAGGGTAACACAAAGACACATGCGTCATGTAACACATTACCTGTGTTGCAAGCGTACAATTAAAACTGACCTAATGTAACTATCTGCGTGTGCACTATTTACGGCCCCGGGTTCTAAGGTATCGTCTGCCAGTCAAATAGGATCTTACTATCTTAACTCTCTTTGACCAACAGGCATGCTAATAAGCCATTCAAATATAATCTTAGTATGTTAACTCTGTTTGACCAACAGGCATGCTAGTTAGCGGCCTGCACACGTTGACTGCCCGCCACGCTCCCCTTCCCTCACCCTCGTAGTAGAGCTTTGTTGTTCTTCCAGCTACCCGACACCGCTAATCTGCCCCCACCACATTGGTTGGCATTCTATTCTCCGGACACTGAACAAACACTCGTTTCTTTTGCGCATTGCCGCTTTCTCTTACTTCAATCACTGAACCAAGTTTTTGTCGCAGTGTGCCTCCAGTTGGACTCATAATGAGGACCTCAGTGGTCCGCACGCCCTCAAGCGTGGGTCCGCCATCTGTCAGTCACGGGTGCAATAGTCCTAAGTGGAAGTTAAAGATTTAAATTGAGCCGGCTGCAAAGTCGATACATTCAGCACTGTCCTTATGAACATTGTGAGAAGCTCTGATGTAGGCCAACCCCCTAAGTCGTAACTTATTGGTCTGTATTTGGAATTTACCCTTGTTAATAAATGTGTTGATTTGTTTTATTTTGTGTGCCAACACTTTATCAAATGCGGTTGTAGACTTGACCTCCGCCACACAAAACAACAACACAAACCAACACTTTTCTTCTTCCGCCCACAACATTTTTCCTCGATTGATTGATGGATTTGATATTTATATCGCGCCGGTATCCGTGCCACTCTAGCATGCCATGTTCACTGCGCTCTGGTCCTCAGAAATCTATTGAAACAAAAAAACTTTTAATTGTTTCTTAAATGATTTTTTATCATTTACAATTCCCTACAAAGATTGAAGCAAACTGTTCCATAATTTTGGCACTATCGCTTCATAGGAGCTCACTCCGTACGACTTTTTTCTGTGTTTATCCACACTAGGAACACTCAACAAGACCGCAGGCTCTTCACAGATACATGTTTATAAATCAGTTTCCTGAGATATTCCCGTGCTGAGCCATCTCTGCAGCTGTACGCCAGGGACAGAATTTTGTAGTTAATTCGCTCACTCACATGAACCCAATGGAGATCTCGTAGAAGTGGGGTGATGTGGTCAGATTTTTTCATCCATGATACAATGCGTGCTGCAGTATTTTGTATCTTTTGGAGTCTCTGAATTTGGTTCTGAGGTAAACCCCACAAACAGTTATTACAATAATCTAATCTTGACTTGATTAGAGTTACCTCTACAGCATTGGCTGTTCTCCTATTGAGTTGAGGACGCAGCTGACCCAGTGCACGCAGATGACAAAAAACATGCCTTGACAACAGAACTGATATGGGGAATCATACTAAGTTTACTGTCAATGTAAAAGCCAAGGTCTCTGACAGTCGAGGACAACAGGATCTCAGATTCCCCAACTTTTATTGATGCAATGGTAACTTTAAGAAGATTGGCGTCTGAACCACAAATAATTGCCTCAGTCTTAACATCATTTAATTTTAATCTGTTTGATGACATCCAATCCTTCACTCATAATACCACCCACATCACTTGTCCTCTTCGCACATCACTTAACGCTTTCCCCTCGCAACTACTTCCCCCTCGAAACTAGTTCATTCATCTTATATTTAAACTGTTAAATGCAGAGGGATTAAAGCTAAGAGTACAAGAAAAATCATAGACTTACCAGTTGCTATCATCAACTTGATCAAGCCGTGGTGAAAAAATGTTATGTTCTTTCTTAGTTGGTCTTTTTCTGTCAGTGCCTTCAGTGTAATCTGTAAAATGTTTTACGGTAGATAATTAGTCATAATTCACTGAGTGCTTGGCTGAGAAAGGGGTAGTCTTATGATAGTGTTACAAAGATATCAACATAAGTAATGGGATTGAAATACTTCGCTACATAAATAGACTTGAATGACATTTTTAACCCTCTCGGGATGGATGGATCGGCCCAAGGTGGAGTAGTGGAAAAGAGGGATGTCCGATCTATCGGCCTGATAATTCAAACCTCGAGAGTGGCTGGCTAGTCTTCATACCAGGGAATCAGATTGCTTCTAGCATATCCCTGCACATCCCGGCATTGTATTGGCGGCCTGTGTTCATAGATAACAAGCTTTTGTTGTATTCAGAATTTTTGTTGTGTATGGCAAGTAATACAGTAAAATTCCAAAATGTCTGACAGTGATACTGATCAAACTATCCTTAGTGATTTTGATATTCTAGCAGTGAATCTGACACTGAAGTTGATGAAAACAACCAGGAAATTAATGAAGACTATCAAAATGAGGGTAATGCTAATGTCGTTAACCCTTGGTTTAGTATAAGGAACACTCAACTGGATAGAGATGACCACTCTGAATTTTTAGACAACATGGGTCCTATAAATAAGGAATAAGCACCCCATTTGAGTACTTTATGCTATTTTTACAATAAATATCATTCAAATGTTTATGACACAGACTAAAAAGTATGCATACAACTTTCTCAGGAAAGTCCAGCTTAAGAGTGGAGCTCTAGGTCATACATGGGGGCCGGTTACATTGAGTGTCTTTAGCAACTGACAGAATAGTCGGGGGGGGGGGGAAGGAGTAAAACCTTTGTGCCTGAGGTTTCTGATGAGCCTCCATGTGCCAGAGGTGTTTGAAGGGCCTCCATGTGCCAGAGGTGTTTGAAGGGCCTCCATGTGCCAGAGGTGTCTGAAGGACCTCAGTATGCCAGAGGTTTCTGAAGGGTCTCCATGTGCGAGAGGTGTCTGAAGGGCCTCCATGTGCCAGAGGTGTTTGAAGGGATTCCATGTGCCAGAGGTGTCTGAAGGGTCTCCATGTGCCAGAGGTGTTTGCAGGGTCTCCATGTGCCAGAGGTGTCTGAAGGGTCTCCATGTGCCAGAGGTGTTTGAAGGGTCTCCATGTGCCAGAGGTGTTTGTAGGGCCTCCTTGTGCCAGAGGTGTCTGAAGGGTCTCCATGTGCCAGAGGTGTTTGTAGGGTCTCCATGTGCCAGAGGTGTCTGAAGGGTCTCCATGTGCCAGAGGTGTTTGCAGGGTCTCCATGTGCCAGAGGTGTCTGAAGGGTCTCCATGTGCCAGAGGTGTTTGTAGGGTCTCAATGTGCCAGAGGTGTCTGAAGGGTCTCCATGTGCCAGAGGTGTTTGCAGGGTCTCCATGTGCTAGAGGTGTCTGAAGGGTCTCCATGTGCCAGAGGTGTTTGCAGGGTCTCCATGTGCTAAAGGTGTCAGAAGGGTCTCCATGTGCCAGAGGTGTTTGCAGGGTCTCCATGTGCTAGAGGTGTCTGAAGGGTCTCCATGTGCCAGAGGTGTCTGAAGGGTCTCCATGTGCCAGAGGTGTTTGCAGGGTCTCCATGTGCCAGAGGTGTCTGAAGGGTCTCCATGTGCCAGAGGTGTTTTTAGGACCTCATTGTGCCAGAGGTGTTTTTAGGACCTCATTGTGCCAGAGGTTTCTGAAGGGTCTCCATGTGCGAGAGATGTCTGAAGGGCCTCCATGTGCCAGAGGGGTCTGAAGGACCTTAGTGTGCCAGAGGTGTCTGAAGGGCCTCCATGTGCCAGAGGTGTCTGTAGGGTCTCCATGTGCCAGAGGTGTCTGAAGAGTCGCAGTGTGCTAGAGGTGTCTGTAGGGTCTCCATGTGCCAGAGGTGTTTGAAGAGCCTCCATGTGCCAGAGGTGTTTGAAGGGTCTCCATGTGCCAGAGGTGTTTGAAGGGCCTCCATGTGACAGAGGTGTTTGAAGGGTCTCTATGTGCCAGAGGTGTTTGAAGGGTCTCCATTCTCCATGTGCCAGAGGTGTTTGAAGGGTCTCCATGTGCCAGAGGGGTTTGAAGGGTCTCCATGTGCCAGAGGGGTTTGAAGGGTCTCCATGTGCCAGAGGTGTTTGAAGGGTCTCCATGTGCCAGAGGTGTTTGAAGGGCCTCTATGGGCCTTGTTTCCCAAAAACACAAGAGTTATGACTTATTTAGGTTTTATCCATAAAAAAATTCACACAATTGGTACAAGTAAGTCATGTTTGTTCTAGGTTTAACAAAAAATCACACACATAAATTATGCAAATCAGGATAGCTAATTTGCATGAATGTTGTTATTCAATTTGATTCATAATGATTGTATTAGTTCATTCAATTTCCTACAAGAATATATCTAGTTTGATATATATGAAGGAAGTAGGATTTTTTGGATCAATTTTTTTTGCAATGGGAGTGCCGAGCTCGTAAAAAGTGCTTCATCTTTTTGGCACAGACGCCCTGAAAAGACTCTGTCCCAAAAGGGTTAAATTTCCCCCAGAAACCCACACTATGTTCTAATGGTTTGAAAATTATTTCGTTTGGTGTACAAGCATACTTTGAGTCAAGAAATCGTTATCCATAATCAATATTTGTATCATGTGACCTTGACCCACTTTTTCATTTTGTTCCACTGGTGACCCACCGGGAATTTAAGGCATACAATTCACCCTTTCATTTACATCAAGAAATTACAAAATATGTGGGTAAAATTTAATTTTCATCAAATAATATATGAAGACCACAAGGGAAAAAACGGCAGAATCACGTTTTTGTTGTTTTGAGATATTCGATTTTTAAAGTTCAAAACCATGCACATTAAAAATGTGTAAACAAAATGTAATTTTTAAAATGCATTTCACAAGAGTGTCCATTTCCCTGAGTTATTAAGTAGATAAAGTAATTCAAACTTGAATGTAACATGATTTATTTCATTATAGTAGAGAGTGGGGTCAAAATGGACTCTGCCGTTTTTTCCCTTGTAGTAATTTATCAAGGTTTGATCATTGATAAATATCTATTTAAAACTATTTTATAAGTAAATTTTCACATTTAGGGGTCACTGGCAAAATACATCACGCTTAGAGGGGGTGGTTGAGAATATGCGACACTTTGTGACAGGGGGAAAGGGAGGTGGGGGGGGGGTAAAAAATTGTGACGTCACTTTTTTTCATCTCTAAAAGTTTCTTCTTTAAAAAAATCATATTTTAATTAATTTCTAAAACATTAATTCGAGGTCAACTTTGCCTCATGTATTATAGTATGGTACCATGAAACTCGGTTTTCTAGTAATACTACATCTTATTATTATGGCAGTGGTTCTCAACCTTCCTAATGCCGCGACCCTTGAATGCAGTTCCTCATGTTGTGGCGACCCTCAACCATAAAATTGTTTTCGTTAGTACTTCATAACTGTAGAGGATATGCATTGGCTGATTGTCTTATGTGACACCTTTAAAAGAGTCATTCAACCCATAAAGGGGTGCCACCCACAGGTTTAGAACTGATGCATTATGGGAAAATTTTGAAGAATAAAATAATATCTTTGTTTAGTTATGAAAATGTTATGTATGTTTTGAATGTTTTTAGGTGATGTGACAGGGGGGGGGGGAGAATTTGTGACATTTTGTGACAAGGGGAGGGGGTGTCTAAAAAGGTCATTTTTAACGTGATGTAATTTACGAATGACCCCTGCCTTAGGCAAATTATTTTTGTTTACACTATAAATATAAGAATATGGATCATGCCTATAACTATCATTAAAAAACTAAATTATTTAGAATTTAACCTGAAAATCAGATTTAAAATCATACTTTCTGAGTTTCTGATGTGCTTCTTACAATTTTGGCCCAATATTTTTTTTTTCTCTAGCAGTAGCTGTAACTGTATGAACTTAGTTTAAGAGTAAAGTCAGTAAAGAGACCGAGATAGCAAGACAGACACTCGAAGATAAAGAGTTCAGGGGGAGTCAGACACAAAGTTAGAGCTATAGGGAGAGAGATAATCACACTAACTGAGATAGACTGACAGGGAGAGACACAGACATGCAACAAACAGTGATAGACTAGACTTGACTACACTTATAGCGACAGCGAAAGAGACGAGTCGGATACACACATAAATTAACTGAACATAACAAAACAAGGGTAAAATAAGATTTAAAAATACAAATTTTATTTTTTAAAATGTTTTATGTCCAATTTATCGTGCTTATGTTAATTTGTTTTGTTTTCATGTGGTAGGAAATTTAAAAAAATTCAGGTTTGTCAGTTAACTTTTTCGTCGGTTTGTCGGTCAGCTGAGCGAATCGGTCGCCATCTTTAAATTTTGTTTACAGTATAGCTATCTCTCATTGGACCTTTAAATCACGTGACTTCAAATGTCACGTGATATTAGTGACTTAGCCCCCTTTTACATTGTAAACATTGGACTCTGCTTCTTTTTCCATTGTAAACGGATTTTTCGTTTCCATTTTTCTTATGGACTTAGCCATTTTTTCTCCTTTAAACTTAATTCAGCACCTTCTATTTTTAACTGGCTATAAGTCAGGGGTGATAACTCAAAAAAATTAAAAATGGACTCTGCCGTTTTTTTCCCTTGAGGTCTTCATATGACATATTGATATGAAATGACCTCAAGGAGTTTCTCTGCTCAGTGACACATAGATAAACTTTACATTTTTCACATACGATATTTGTTTTTAGTCTGCACAATTTGCATCGTTGACGCTGATCACTTTTGATGGGGAAGTGATATGTGTTCGAACTTCTGGCTCTGGCATCAATTGTTGTGGAAACCTCTCTTCTGTGGACATTCTGTAGTGCATTTAAGTGATAACGTGTGTCAGTTTCACAATAATATCTGGTGCCGGCATTTTTGCTAGACCCATTCTAAGAAACATACCCATAATCTGTTTCATTTCTGTTTGGTGGTGACAATTGATTTTTCCAGACTTTCAAACACTATGCTGGTTAGTCATTGTAAGACTAACATATCATCCGTTAGAGAGACTTTGAGAAATAGAAAAGGGGATGGAAATTGATAATCATCCAAAAGTTCCAGTTGTCTACCTCTAAATATAGAATCTGGTAGATTAAATGTTCTTTTGTCCATACAAATGACAACTTCTGCTTTGCTCTGGCAGAGTTAGAGGATGTAGAGGGTTCTGGCTCATCATCATCAGATTCCAAATTACTGGTACATGTGATTTTGATGTAATATTTGAGTATTATTTGGATTGTAATCTTTATCTTCATCATCTGTTGCATTATCATCTCTAAATCACTCTCATCTGGATTGATGGCATCCAAAATGGCATATGCCTCATGTGTCTTGTAGTATCTTTTTGATGGAAATGCCATTCTGTCAAACACAAAAATAATAAGTTATTAATTATACCCTAATTAGTTTTTGACCTACATATAGCATAGGCCTCTATGGCAATAAAACAAAGGGAATTTTATAACATAGTATTTCTATACTATGTTACTATAATCAATTAATTAAAGATAATATTTTCAGTTCAAATACACAATTAATAACCATTAAGAAAGGTAATAAATATTTAAATGACATTACAATATTATTTTTAATGCACTAAAAATAATTAGAGCTACATCTAGTTTTAGCTACAAAATGAGTGGTCTCTAGATGGTCTAGTCCTAGTTCCTAGTGACTTCTTTATTTGACCAAGAAAACCCATTGGGTCGCTGGAGATTCAACGATTTTATAAAGTCACAATCTAAAAATTAGCACCAATTTAATAATTCTTTGCACTGTCATTTGTGTAAAAACATTTTTCAAATACACACAAAACAATACATTAATTTATAACTTACCTCATAAGGCCGAATTGATTCTTGAAGTATGTATAGTCCACTGTCAGTACAATGTATCATGGGGGTAGCCATATTTAAAAAGGAATTCACTTACAAAAAATAAATTTAAGACAAAATGGTTAACTCCCTTTTGTTCCACAGTAGGAACACTGGGTATTAGAGACACAAAAAAATTGATTTTTTTTAATTAGGGTGGGTCACGAGTGCTCACACATATATGTACTACCCAACATGCTCAAGGTTCGAGCCACATGTAGACTAAGCTGGGGCATCTCTTCAGGAATGAAACGAGTGAACTGTGCTGGCCCAACTGTGTCTTACCTTGCCTTGAGTGTCCCATTACACTGCAGCTCTATTAGCTCTATCTGCAAATTTACAGGTGCAGTTTCCACGTCTTTGTCAAATGGGTTACAAAGCAGCTCGAAATTACTTTTCTGTGCTTCAAAGTCACTAAAAGTCGCTGTGCGAACTCGGCACTAAGTAAGCTAAGTTTTTCAGCAAAGTGTGCATTAGGAAACAACATAGCATTGACTTGGTTCAACATTGCTTGGCAACAAGAAAAGTGAGACAAGTTGCATTGATGCATTTGTATCTACTATAAGCGCAGTTTCACTTGAAATGCCTTCACTGCATCATGCATATCAGTGATCAAGTGATTCCGACTTTGGGGCTGCAGGTTCAAGTAGTTGAAATGAGTGGTTTTGTGTCAGACAGAAATGCCAACTCACATTTCCACTTTTTATCCCGAAAAACTGTGGAATCTTTTCCTTTGCTGTCCATTAATTGACAGATTTCCTCGATCAGCTGGAAAAATATACTAAAACTTTTCCCCGACTTAGCCACCGCACCTCTGTATGATAAGGCATGTCGCCGAACGTTGAGTCTTTTTCCTTCAAAAAATGCTGAAATTTGCTGTGATTTAAAACTTTGGCTCTGATAAAGTTGCCGGTTTGTGTTACAGTGCTCATTACACCATCCATGTTGAGGACTTGAGCACACAGGACCCTTGGTGTATGATGCTGTAACATGCTATCAGTTCACCAGTACAGTTCTCCTGCATCTTTAACCATATCTTTCCAACTAGTCCACTTTTTACGCCACAAATCGCCTGTGCTCCATCTGTTGTAAGTCCAAGTTTGTCCCAAGGCAGGTTCATGTTGGTTAAACTTTGACATGCGTTGTCTGAAATGTCTTTTCCTGTTGTTATCCCCTGCATGGATTTCATGTCCAATATTTGTTCTATAACATTCAAAATGGAGTCCACTCCACGGATGAAGAGCTGTGCAGTGTCAGTCGTGTCATTACTTTCATCGACAGCAAGTGAGAATGCAACAAAGTCTTTTCCTTTTCCATCAGCTGTGTTTTCACAGCAGTGGCCATCTCACAAATCAGATCAGCAGCCATATTTCTGCTAAGGCTTACATTTGCACACTTTCATCATGCAGCTCTTCAGAAACTCTTATTCTGTAAATGGTCTGCCAGATTTTGCGAGCTCCTCCACCACAATAAAACTTGCTTTCACATCAGGTTCAATTTGTGATTTTACTTTGTTGAAAAACATCTGCAGTGATGTTAGATTCCTCTTAAATTGGCCATTTTAATGCTAGCTTTGATTTTAAAAAATGATTGTGCATCTACGGACAGACGCTTGATTAATATCCTGTTTGCCGTAGCGGGAAAAGGTGATGTTATATCCGGGCACTACATTTATTTCATTTCCTTTGTGCCATCCAATTTGAGCAACAGAACATTGCTAGGTTTCTGTTACATCCACTCACTACACAACTGTTAATTTTTCTTATTCTGTTTTAAGCGAGAACGCTCTCAGGTAGCCCATCATTTGGCAAGGCTGCTAATTATGGTATTTGATTTGCAATTTATGTTGCAGGGCCATTACAAAAATATTTTTGCCTAAATTTCGCTCTCGGACCGGATATAATTGTACTCCGGTCAAGACCTCTTGGGCCTGATATAACTGTACGCTGGTCAAGACCTCTCGGGCCTGATATAACTGTACACTGGTCAAGACTTCTCAGGCCTTATTTAACTGTACGCCTGTCAAGACCTCTCGGACCTGATATAACTATGTCGGTCAAGACCTCTCTGGCCTGATATAACTAATCGAGTCAAGACCTCTTGGGCCTGATATAACTGTACGCCGGTCAAGACCTCTTGGGCCTGATAACTGTATGCCGGTCAAGACCTCTCGGGCCTGATATAATTGTACGCCGGGTCTGATATGGCCCGCGGGTCTTGAGTTTAACACTTATTATCTAGGCCATTTCCCGAGTTTGATGGAGCATACTAAACTTGGCAAAACAAGCTCAATGAATCTTCATGGTTATGAAACATGTACATCATCTGTGTCTGTGATGCCCGCAGCCATTTTCAATGCTGTAACCAAAAATACCCATAGATTGCGAAGTTCTTGCATATCTGCAGTCAATATCAGTAACAACTTTGTCATTTTCTACCTGTACCCTAGACAGTAGTAACTCAATTCTCAAGCCATTTTGCAAGATTGTTGGAAAAAGTGTGTCCCCGTTAGCTTTAGGTAGGGCTTGGATTTAAAACAACATCGCTGATCTTTGTAGATCAAAGCTGTTAAAAATGTTAAAAAATTGTCTGCATTGCATTTTTATTTAAACAGACTCATTATAGTCAATGACATTTGGGAGTGGTGTGCAATCTTTTTATGTCATCCCCCTTATATGGTATCATGGTTTGGAGCCCTTTAAATTTACTAGGGTAATAAGGGGAGAAACTGCAATCAGGTTAGCAAAATAGGAAATGAGGAAAATAAAGTAAAGTCAAACCTGAAATAGGGAACGCAACAAAGCAATGCAACAGCACAATGCACAGGTTTGACTATACTTTTTTTTACTCATTTACTAGGTTTATTTAGCGTGCCAGCTAAATGAGCCAAACTAGCAAGGGGGAAAGAAAGCTTATTATTGAACATTTCTTTGCACCCTAATATGGCCTTTCACATTTAGAGTAGCATCCATTGTAAAAAGGTGTCTGTGGTGACCCTGTCAAGGTGTGTGGTGGCAGCATCACACTTGTGATGTATGTGTCACTCATGTATGGTGTCTGTGTCCCACAAGTAGAGTCTGTATCAAGGTGTGGCGTTTGTGCCACATGGTTTGTGTCTGGTACATGTGTGGTGTCTGTGGTGTGGTTTGTGTTTTACATGTGTGGTGTCTGTGTCGAGGTGTGGCAACGACTGTGTCACATGACTGAATTGTGGCCTGTATACACCATATCTACGTATATTATTGGTGATGTCATGATTTTCATAGATTCTATTGAACACTTACCTTTATCCTGCTGTTACCATTATACATGTGTATCAATAGAAAAGGTCTGTTTATTCATAAAAGTAGCAGAAAACCTTGAAAAAGCTTATAATAATTGACTAGTGTGTTGTGAGAGGAGGTATGTAATAGTGGTTGTTGTTTTTGTAAGAGATTCTAGTTACTTATAAAGAAGGCCATTGTTTACTATGGGTTTGTTCTTCCATTAAACAAATATTCACTGAAAAATGTCAGTTTACTAAGATAAAATTCTTAGGTAGAAGAGGTTCTCATTTGAAAGAAACATGGGTTAGCCTTTCTCACTTCACTAAATGCAATGTTTGTACTGGTTAGTCACGGCAGCTAATGCTCTACTGTATTTATCAATGTTTATATGACCAGGGGTGTGTGTATTCGGATCCTTCAGCCATTGGGGCATATAAGTATTGTATGAATGAGCCAATCTGATTTTTTTAAGCTTTAGGGAAAATGTGTCAGTTTGCCATTTTAAAATCAATGACAGTATCTCAGGCTAATGTCCTTGTCCTGGTCCTGTTTGCACAAGGTGGTAACAGCTTGTATAAACCAGGACACTGTAGAATGGAGCCCAAGGGAAGGATCATTGTGAAGTTAATTTTTTCGTTTTAAGGCTATAAAAAAATCTTTGGACCACTTTCTAAAATGCAAGGCCTCATATGTCTGTGAGGTCAGCAAAATGATTGATTGGATAAAAGAGGTTGACTGAGAAATTGTGTCATATCTCTGTCACCCTGAGGTGACAGGATGGTATAGGCCTGAGGTAAAAATCTAACAAATTCCAAACAGATTCAATAAAAATGATATTTCTAAAAATGTGCACATCTGTATTTTCATGATAGATCTGTGTTGTTGTTTTATGGCTCTGATTCATTAAGATTCAGTTTCTATTTTTATTTCTTGACAGTTCTGATACTGATCATACTGCTTTACAGATTGATTGATGGGAAATGTCACATATTTCACAAATGCCTAAAAAAGTGTCTTTTGTAGCATAGGTAGATAAACAATATCATATTTTCAAAATAATATACATCAGCCCTTTGTATGTCATGTTTTATCGGAAGTCCTTAAAATTTTACAGTACAATTTTCAAATGATGATTTGTAACTAAAAACCACACAGACACATAGAGCCCTCCTAAAAAAAAAAAAAAAACTTTTTTGAGGATTATTCTGGCATGTGCTGTTGCCCTTTCCACATCTTAAAAATGAAAATGATCTCTGTGCTTTTCACATGAACTGTCTCAAGTGTATCAGCTTAATACCATACATTTCTTCAGCAACCACTATATGTCTAAGACAGCGGTTCTCAACCTGTTGGTCACAACCCCTTTGGGGATCGAACAACCCTTTTCCAGGGGTGGCCTAAGAACATCGGAAAACACATATACTCTATGAAGTTATGAAGTAGCAACGAAAATAATTTTGTGGTTGGAAACTGTATTAAAGGGTTGCGGCATTAGGAAGGTTGAGAACCACTGGACTAGGAAAACCTAATTTCAATAAAAAGCTTAATTTTGTGAGACATTTTACTTGATCAAAATATGGTCTTTCCCTAAGAAATTGCAGTTTGAAAATATTTTTGTTATAATACGCTCATTTGTTGAAATGAACAATAATATTGTGTTTGTTAGAATACACTGATTAGTTGAAATTTAACATCAGATGAAATGTTTAAGACTTCCTTGAAAAACTCAACCTTTATATTTCTTGTAACCTGATGGATTTTTACAAATATTGTTGAATTGTCTTAGATGTCGCAACTCGATTGAGTTCTCTGTCAATGCTGCCTGGCTGTTGAATGCCTACTCTGCCGACACACTGAAACCCAACTGGAAAAATTCCCAGGGGATCAAGCTGAGGGACATGATCCTGAGTGAGGAACTGAGGTAATTTGTCTCCTGTGAATACTTTTTTAAAATTATTATTTTTAAAAAAATGAAAATGGAATTAATCTAACAACTTAGTGCCATAGATTTTCACTTTGCCTTTGAGCTGTAAATGTCAATTTCAGTGCTGTAAATGTTCAGCATTGTCTCAATCTGTGCTATCTTGTGTAACTGTCACCTTGTTTTTTTACCACCTTCTATTTACTTGATTTGAGTGTGATTAATAGGAGGTTACTAAAAAAAACTTTTTTTTTACTTGTTTTTTGCTTAGGTCAGTTGGGCTTTTTTTTTGTATGTATTGTGTGTGGGTGTGTGTGTTGTTTGCTTAGGTCAGTTGGGCTTTTTTTTGTATGTATTGTGTGTGGGTGTGTGTGTTGTTTGCTTAGGTCAGTATTCTATTTATTTGATTTGAGTGTGATTTATAGTATGTTACTTATATTTTCTTTTTTTTTACTTGTTTTTTGCTTAGGTCTGTTGGGCTTTTTTTTTGTATGTATTGTGTGTGGGTGTGTGTGTTGTTTGCTTAGGTCAGTTGGGCTTTTTTTTGTATGTATTGTGTGTGGGTGTGTGTGTTGTTTGCTTAGGTCAGTTGGGCTTTTTTGTTATTTATTGTGTGTGGGTGTGTGTGGGTATGTGTGTTGTGTTCTTAGGTCAGTTGGGCTTTTTTTTGGTATGTATTGTGTGTGGGTGTGTGTGTTGTGTTCTTAGGTCAGTTGGGCTTTTTTTTTGGTATGTATCGTGTGTGGGTGTGTGTGCGTATGAGTATCTGTTTGTGTTAAGTTGTCTTCTTTTGTCAGTTAGCCTTTTTTTTGTATGTATGTGTGGGTGTGTGTGTATGAGTATCTGTTTGTGTTAAGTTGTCTTCATGATGTTATTCAAGCATGATCCTCTGAGCTACATATTGTAATGCTACAATGCTAAATGTAACCATTATAAATAGTATGAGCTTAACAATGCTGTTCCATCAGCCTTCACAGACCGTTTAATAGATCAGTAATTAACATGCCATAATTTGTTTGTGGAAATCAAACAAGCTCATACACCTAAAATAAAAAATAAATGTTTGTAAATTTAATGCCTTTAAAAATCAGGCCCCAGATACAGAGTCCAACTGGCAATCCCAGAGCTCCAACCGCTTACAGTTACTCTCAGAGGCAGCGAACACCCTCAGGGGGTGGGAAGCTTGTTTTGACCAACCCCACCAATCTATCTGTTCCTGTCAACTTGATAGGTAGCAGCCAGACTTCGGTGGCCCTTGCACTTTTGTCCACAACCCCGCAACTGAGCCAGGCTGCAGCCAGCACTGTGGTTAAAAAGACACATCAGAGGTCAAGGTCAGAAGCAACTGGTGAGTTAAAATTACACCCTGTATTTAAAGCCACTTGGTTATATGTTCTCAAGTCATGTTTGTCTATAACAGACAATCATAAAACACCCACACAGATTCAAATAGATTGGATTAATTATTCTCCTCACGGACCACAAATCTAAATTATGTCCAGGTATTCTGATGAAGCACAGTGAGACCACACCGGCCCTGCATCCCACTAGTGCCCATCTTTTCGGTGACCTGTCATCTGGTCGTGCATTTGACAACGGATGCCAGTGTTACTCTAAGTCAGAGGCCGTCTTGAATGATTTGAAGGGGCGGGAGACTGTGTGCCAGTGTGATGTAAGTGTAAGGGCTTTTAGGCTTCTGTTATTTCCTCTTATATGTTTGACAAGTTGTTGAAATTTTAACACTTTGCAATAAATTTTTTTTTCTTTCTATTTAAAAATTATTTTTTTTTAAAAATCGAATTAGATCTATATGAATTATACTTATTATTAGTCAATCATGTTAGGTCATATGGCACAAAAACCTGGCTTTACTTTAATGTTGTTCTTTTTATACTGAAATTTTGCAACATGCCTTTGAACTTTGACCTTGTCGCTGAACTGGTCTATATAATATGTTTTCAATTATTTTCTTTGTGTAGGCCCCTAGATTACTCCCAGAGGAAGAATTCATCAAGTCTCTCCTCAACATTGGCAAGAAGCTCCAGTTGCTGCCAACTAAAGAGCACAGAAGTAAGACCACTTTACCCCCAAAATTAGAGATGCTCTCATTTGGATCAGGACAATTGCTGAAAATTTGAAGAATTATTTGAAAATAAACACACCCTACTGATTTCCAGATAGTGCTGGCTTAAACACATCTCTCCACACCCCCCCCCCCCCCCCCCCCCCCCCTCCNTATTTGAAAACTAACACACCCTACTGATTTCACGATAGTGCTCGCTTAAACACATCTCTCCTCCCCCCCCCCCCCCCCCCTCAATCCCTCATTTTTAAAACACCATTTTGATAAAATAAACTATTTGGTGCCATTGTGACAAAATTAACTATTGGTGCCATTGTGACAAAATTAATTATTGGTGCCATTGTGACAAAATTAACTGTTTGTAGAATGTTTAAAAATAGGACTTAATAAAATATTTAGCTTAAGTCAGGCAGAAAAGTGTAAAATTCTGTGCTCAGCCATGTTCTCCCCTTCAAAGTGAGCAAGATATTGAAATAAGTCAATGAAGTCATCCTTCTCTTTTTTTAAATTTGCTTTTTCTAAGTCATATTTCCAAGTTTACAAATATAAAAATGTACTACAAATGTCTAAAATGGTTTTCAAATCAGTCAAAATGATCAGATAAGTTTTATTGTTTTCATTCTGTCATTTTAACATTTTAAAATGACATTTACATATGACATAAAGTCAAAAAATATTTTATTACCGGTATTGGAATGAAGAAAAAGTTGGATAAAATATAATTATAAGACAACATACGTTTAGAGGGTGGGCACACTAGCTCTAAATATAAGTCAATAAACATGCTTACTTATTCTTCATCCTAAAAATAGCATGGATCAGGTTATAATATGTCCTCTTTCCCAAGCTTCCCAACTGATAGCTGAACTGGCCATGCTCAATTTGAACCTTCCTGCAAGGGTCTGGCTGCCTATTTCCCACTCCCGAAATCACCATGTAGCCAGGATACCACACACACAAGCTGTCGTGCTCAACTCAAAAGAAAAGGTAAGCACTGAAACTGAAATAGGCCTTTAAAATAACAGGAAAATACTGAAAAAAGCTTGTGAAAATAATAGGAAAATAATGAAACAAGCGTGTGAAAATAACAGGGAAATAATGAAACATGCTTGTGAAAATAACAGGGAAATAATGAAAAAAGCCTGTAAAAGTAAAATAATGAAACGGGATTTTAAAAGTAACAGGGAAATAATGAAACAGACCTTTAAAAGTAAAAGGAAAATAATGAAACAGCCCTTTAAATTTGTGCAGTCCAATGGTTTTTTTTCTTCTTTTTTTTTTTTCTTCTTCTTTAGTTCATCTCACGTTATGGGATATCATAAAAAGAGTAGCTAATTAATACCCATCATTTTACTCAAACAACATATTTTAAGAAGGAAAAAAAACTAGAAATGCATAGGAGCCAAAATGATAAAATGGGCCCTTAAGATAAAGAAGAAGAAGAAGAAATAATTCAAAATTTATTGTTATTTAATCTGCAATATAATATACAAAAATGTAAAGAAAAGAATTTTACTAATACAACTTTTTTTTTTTTTTTTAAATATAATGTGTGAAACTTGCATAAACAGACCTTTTTACCTTAATATAAAAAAGAAAAAAAAGAAATAATTCAAAATTTATTGTTATTTAATCTGCAATATAATATAAAAAAATGTAAAAAAAAGAATTTTACTAATACAACTTTTTTTTTTTTTTTTAAATATAATGTGTGAAACTTGCATAAACAGACCTTTTTACTCTTACGATTTTGGTGTACAATGTACGATTTTGAGGTGTATACTGTATGTTTATTTATAACTATAAATATAAGGTATTGGACGATTTTGTGATGATATTGTACGATTTTAAGAGTTAGAGGGTAAACAGGTCTGCGTAAATAGTGTTTTTAGCTAATGATCTCATTATTCGAATTATTCAAATGCAAACTTTAAAACCCATTTTTCAATATTTAAAAGTTCAAATACAATACAAATGCATTTAAATAAATTATAACAAATAATTTGAATAATTTTGTTTTTAAATCGTTGAAATTTTAATAAACTTTAATAAATAGAAAAATAATTAGAAGAAACCTAGAGCTTACATGATTAAATCAAGCCTAAACAAATACAGACACAGACTTAGAGTCTACTAAGCTTAGAGGGGGTTCTAACAATAAACAGTTATTCCACTTATACAGAAATGTTTATAACATTTCAAACATTTAATTGCCATTGTAGTCTGATGTCTTTCTTTTCGAGTCAGTAACACCACAGCATAGAATTAGGCTCATGTACCATGGGCGCCCGCAGAAAACTTTCTAAGGGGGGGGACAAAAAAATCGATTAACTTTCCGGGGGGGAGGGGGGGGGGGCAAAATTTTTTTAGTAATGTTTTAATTTAGTTTTAATTTACTAAAAAAATTTATCCAATCAATCCAGGGGGGGCTAGTGCACCCCCCCCCCTTTGCCTCCCTCTGCGGCGCCCATGTCATGTACATAAGTCAAGAAAAAAAAATGTAGATATCTGTAAGTGTTATTTTCTTCCAGTTAGTGTAGAGGTACTTTTTTTTTTTCTTCTCTCATGTGGTTGGCATAAGCATTGTTTTACTTACAAATTTTCAAAATGAGTTTGAAGAGATTTCAAATGGACGATAAATAGTTTATTTTTAAACTGCAGTTCAGAATGACATAAAAGCAGGAGTTTATTGATCTAACACAGATATAAAAATAGTATAACAATTATGATAATATAAAAAAACATGATTGGAAAATCAAATTATCATTACAACATTGTAAGACTTACTTACCCCTGGGTTGTTGTCAGTGTCGTTTTCAGCTCTCAAAATGTAGTTTCAAGCTGCAAAGAGTAGTTTGGTCAATTTGTGGCGTGTGGGAGCTGGTTTACAATAAAAAAAAAGTTGTGTGCCCAAATCCACTCAACTGCTTATGTAAATTAAAACAAATAAATATACAGGTTATAGTCTTGCTGTTTGTTTCTTAAGGATGAGAAAAGGCAAACACATTTGTAGTTAAGTATGAACAACACAATTCTCTAAAAGATAATATTCTGGTTGGTTTATTGAGTTTGAGACCAACAAAGGCCAATCACTGTTATTCTTATTTGATTTCTTACGGTGTTAACACAAAAAATGCAGTTACTTTTTACTGAAAACACCCCCATTATTTAAAAAAAATTAAAATTAAACCAAATAAACGGAAACAAATCCAGAAACCATAGTTTTTTTTAGGCTCGTCATAGTGCCATAGTCTTAGGCTTAAAAATGTAGTTACTTCGGTGAAAGCGTAAGGAATAAACAGGTCTTCAACTAGAATCCTACTATTTAATTGCCTAACATATTTTGTTGTTCAAATTATTTAGAAATGTTAATTTTATTGGTCTTATTCATGTTGATACATAGACTATCATTGTTAGAAACTGTACTTGTGTAGGTAAAAAAAACATACATATCTGACTTCGATGTTGTTTCATACTCCTCTGTATCCCAATCATCAGAAGAGTCACTTAGTGATTCATCTAAGTTAAAAGTTAATTTCAGTATTTTCTAAATTCATTTTGGATTTTATTATTTCTATTGAAGCAGCTAGCTCGAATTGAGTCGTGACAAGAGATCAAAATGGATGATGTAAATTCGTCTCGGTTGCGTTCATTTAAAAACCTTTCTTTGTTTAAAAAATTGATAATTATAATTAAAAATTTAATTTTTATAATTTCAACCCTTTTCATTCTAATAATAATTTTTATTTCTTGACCAAATAAAAAATAAATTTTTTAAAAAAGCTTAACCACCCCCCCACCCCCCCTAAACTGGCGAAAACACGAATTCTCTATAGTTGGAACATACAGAGTTAAAAGGAGAGTACTGAAACAGCCCCTTTAAAACAAAAGTACCCAAACAGCCTGTTTTGTTCCCATTTTTCCTTGAGTCAACAATGTCAGTGTGCTGTCACTAAGATCAATACCACTGCAACAGAAATTATCCTTATAACATTAGCAAGGGAGAAAGAGTGCATAAGTCAAACTTTATATTAAATTGGTTAACAAAGAATTTGAAAGCATTTAAGAAATGAATTTTATATGGTCATAATGAGGGTTCATTGCTAGCCCATCAGATAGATTCAGTTTTCAAACAAATGTAAATCATACCGGGGCCCAAAGCAGAAATAAATGTTCCGAAGGCCCAAAAGCAATACCGGTACTGCAATGTTGTTCTTAGGCTCCCTATATGATCTATGTGGAGATCCTAAAGTGTGACAACACCACCACAAGCCAGGTGCCCCACAAGATCCTAGAGAACACCTTACGATTCACCCGCTCTGAGGAGGACCTGACCCAGCTGGTCCAGCAGCCCATCAACGGATCACCAAGGCCAGAGTTTAGTGTCTACGGCACATGTCATGACTTTGATGATGCAGACTGCTGGTCTCAGGAAGATGATGACATCATTGCTGTATGTTGGTGTTAAAAGTTTTGTCCGTTTAATTAGCTGTACTGAAGAATAAAATAACAAAAGTGATAATTGCAAATATTTATTAAATTAAGCTAGAAAATATGTAAGAAAAGGCTAAATGTTTTGCTGAAAATTGATGAAGAATTTTTTATTAAGTTTAAATTTGATTCAATTTATGGGTTGTTGCATTTTCACACCGTCAAATCTCTCAGCTTGCTAATCGGTGCCGGTCAAGTGACACCATCTCTCAGCTGTCTACCGAAAGTTCTGCAAGTGCTGACAGCAAAGACCCTGTATATATAGCAGCTGGAGACATAAGGAGACGGCTGTCTGAAAATTTGGCTGCTCCGAAAAAGAAATTTGAGGTCAGTGGGGCCACTCGGCTTTAACAAAATGATTGCTAAAGATGAATAATTATCGTCCTAGCACTAAGTTATTTATTATAATAAAGTGTTTCTTCAAACTATACAGACACTACTGTATACTGAAGCACTTCATTTTATTAAAAAATATGAATAACTGGCCTTTGATGGAAATGATATAGATTGACTGAAGAGCTTAAAGATTACTGCCTGCCTATTTCAAGCATGAGAAGAAAATAGCATTAGTGTAATGTTGTTGCCAAGGCAGTCATACCTCATTAGTGTCAGGCTGAAACATTTATTTTAGACTGACAAGACAAACATTTTTGCTGCCCCATTAATTTGACCTAGCTTCTGATTTCTCCTTCTTTTGCCTGTTTGGACAACTCTTCAATAATCAAAATACATAATTCTCTAAGCAACAATGTCACTAATGCTACCAGATAGGGCTGATTAATAAAATAACTGCTCTAAGTGGGGGTCTTAAAAATACTGCAAGCGCGTTTTGTTCTATGGAAATAGTCTCAGTTGATGATGCAGACAGCTGGTCTCACGAAGATGATGACATCATTGCTGTATGTTGGTGTTAAAAGTTTTGTCTGTTTAATTAAATGTACTGAAGATAAAAATAACAAAAGTGATAATTGCAAATATTTATTAAATTTAGCTAGAAATTAGATTGAGCCCTTTTCACAAGCCCTGCACTTAACTTGCAAAATAATTTATTAAAAATAAACTTAATACTATACAAATATAAAACTAAATATATTCTTGTTAGGAATTGAATAAACTAACACAATCTTTATGAATCAAATTGAAATCTCAACATTTTTGCAAATGATTTATGCATAATTTATGCATGCACATTTTTTTTACACTTACAATAAAATTGTCTTACTTGCAGAATTTTTTTAATTTTATGATTGTTGAAGCCTAAATAAGTCCTTAGCCATATTTGAATAAGATACAATGTGAAAAACGGCATAAAATATTCACCCGGGGCTGTTATGCCGTTTGACATAATTTCAAGGTCACATATTTTAAATCATTTATAGAGGTCACCAGCTACAAAAAAAATTAATATAAAATGACGGAACACCTTAAAATAGCAATGGAAGCCACCATTAAAATGTCGAGATGAGCAAAGTTTAGTGTTCATGCGGCCCGCACGTTTTCCCCATTCTCATATCTATAATGTGACCCTCCACGATGGTTTCAGTCGAATCTCATCAACTATTATTATGTTTGTATAGGTTTGTACGTTGATTAAAATGGTAAAAACTAAAAATAGACTAAAAGTTTTTATTTTATAGCATTTTATACATATATCAAAAGTTTAAAAAGTCAGTTAGTGGGTAATGAACAAGCATAATTGTGTAAATCGTAGCAATCTGATACAGTATCAAAAAATCCCTTTTAAAAAAATTGCCGCTAGTTTGTACGGGTGACGATTGAGGGAAATTCCGAGCCTGTCAGCTTGATCACTTTCAAAATAGAATTACTCAAAAAGGCATTTTCTACTATTAAATTTCTCCTATAAAAAAAAAAATCAAAATTCATTCTCCCTAGAATAGCATCTTCCTTCACATCAATAATTCATAAATATGGCCTGCTCCTGCCTTCAGTTTGAATGAGTTTACGTTTTAAAATCACCAGTGGGAACCTCCATATTTAGATTGTTATTTTATTATTTTTCGTCTTACTAGAAGCTCGTTATTTTCTTAGCATTTATTAGCTGAATATTTTTTACTTCAGATCACCGGGAATTTTATTTTTTACTAAGGATATGATGGGCTAAATGTTTTGTTGCGGTCCAGTCCCACTCAGATTCTACCTCCTGCTGCCCCTGGATAATTTGAGTTTGAGACCCCTGCTCTAGGCTTTTGTTACTGGGCCATAACACTATAGTAGCCCATAGCTAGTTCTGAATAAATAGAGTAGCTGGCACACAGGATATTCTGCACATAGAAATGACATGAGATTCAATGGTCAAGAAACATAAAGTTTCTAAAGTAACTATCTTTTGTTACTTACTATATATATAGTACCGGTAATTTCATAATATCATGGTGCATAGATTTTCTTTGGTTAAGCTATCAGATTCAGCTGCAATTACTGGTTTGCAGAATGCAACAGAGCTGAAATTCGGTACACTGCTTAGTCTCAAGGGATCTTTTAATCTTTGATTTTGTCTTGGGGGACAGAAGAGTTTGCATGACCCCTTTAGCTTTTTCAAATTGTTTTCACGTACTGACCGCCATGCCACACCACATGGAGATGATTGCTAAATAGCTCCCTGGAGCCAAAGAGAGCAATTTAGCTCAACCACTCCCAGATTATGGATCAGGTTGTACAGATCAGAGCCCTCCAATCCTGTAGAGCCAATGATGATGATGGTACTTTCAAACTTTTTTCCCTTGTCTTCAGCGTGATCCAGAAGATCCTTCTGCTGCAGCTCTCAAGGAACCGTGGGAAGATAAAGTGGCTCGCATTCGTGAAACATCCCCTTATGGCCATTTGCCAAACTGGCAGCTGATGTCTGTCATAGTGAAAGTGGGAGATGACCTTAGGCAAGAGCTTCTTGTCTACCAAGTGTTGAAAAGGTTACAGGTAAAATATGGTTTATTAATAAACAAATATTTGTATTCAAGGGTTTTTTTGTACAGACAATATATCCAACGTTGCACGGGATTGCATGTGGAAAAAATGCTACAGCCTTTTAATTCACATTTAAATTAAGCAAAATGAGAAGAAAAAAAACACTGCTGTAGTAAAAAAGTAAAATAATTAATTTGTCTTCTATGAAGACACATATAATAACTTTTGTAAACCTTTCATCCCCGATAGGATCCCAATCGGATCTCTTCTATGAAGACACATATAATAACTTTTGTAAACCTTTCATCCCCGATAGGATCCCAATCGGATCTCTTCTATGAAGACACATATAATAACTTTTGTAAACCTTTCATCCCCGATAGGATCCCAATCGGATCTCTTCTATGAAGACACATATAATAACTTTTGTAAACCTTTCATCCCCGATAGGATCCCAAAGGGGGGGGGGGGGGGGGGGGAATCAGTATCCAGATACAGGTGGGATCCCGTTTCCCAATCCCGGTGGGATCTTGATTCCGGTGGGTTACTGATGCTGTCAGTATCAGGATCCCAGTGAGGATCCCATTTTCTGATGGGATCCCATTTCCAGATGCGGTCCTCTTCTCCGATGGGATCCCGTTTCTAGATAGGATCCTGATTTGATCCCATTACCCAATGGATCGGGTTACTGGTGGGTTCCAGTTTAAAGATACAAGTTGTTCCCCATTAGGATCCTGTTCCTTGGTGGGATCATGTTCCTACTGGGAGTTTGTTCCCGGTAGGAGTACAAAGGTTATGTTTAGAGAAAATCCCCATGAAATTATAGAAATGAATAGAACTTAACAGACTTAAAATTTTAATAACCTTTTAGATCCCAAAATATATCCCCGTAGAACAATATAGAACATTCTAGATTAAATTTAAGATCCTCCTCGAATTGTGTAAAAATGACTTCTACATAATAATTTTTTTGAATACGAAAAATTGAACAACCTATTGCACTTCTATAACTATTTTACATTTAATGGGGCCCATTCCATAAATGTACCGATTTAGTTTTGCCTGAGATGGGGACCCTTCTTAAAAGTTAAAATTTAAAAGTTGTCCCATTAAATTGGGTAATAATTGCTTTCTTTACATTATCGAACTTTCTGGAAAACTCTTGACCGGCCCTTAATGGATCGATATTATTCATTTTAAATCAATCGATATTTCAGTTATGACTATGAAGAGTATTGATATCAAGCTAGGCCACTGCCTATATCCATCAACTCAAATGGAACCTATAGAAGCCTATTTATATAGCTTATATTAGAAAAAAAATGAAATGGGGCCCCGAAGCCATAGGAATGGATCTTATGAGTTCATTACCCTTCTGTATTTGAATATGGATAATCATGTGTATGTAATAAGTTTGGTCAAGATCCATCTATTCGTGAAGGAGTATTTGTTGTTAATTTAATTTATATTATATAGCTCATATTATAATATACAAAATTTAGAGCCTCCAGCCTCAAACGGGATGTTATAAAAAGTTCATAACTCCACAAGAGCTCCTTCCGGATAATGATGGATATATGTGCCAAGTTTGGTCAAGATCCATCAATCCATGTTCTTGTAGAAATGTATGCGGGAAAAAGCCACAAACAAACTAACCAACTTTCACTTTTATATACATCTATGTGTGTTGGGAAACAGGTCACATTCCCCAGGACATGAGAGACGCCAACATCGTAACATTGTACAAAAATAAAGGGGACCGAAGTGATTGCAATAGCTACTGAGGAATTTCTATCCTTGGCTTAGTTGGAAAGACTTTTGCCTGTGTTGCCCTCAAACGATTGCAGAGTCTGGCTAACCGCATCTACCCAGAGTCCTTGTGTGGCATCCAGAGTGGGCGCCTTACAATAGACATGATATTCTCATTACGCCAAATGCAAGAGAAATGTCATGAACAGCATATGCCTCTTTATATTGCTTTCATAGATCTTTTTCTTGGATTCCTGCCCTTCCTATCTAACCGAACTTCTTTCTGTCTATTCACCCCTTCGACAGCATCGCTCCTCTGCAGACACGCGTATTCTGTCCGTTCCCAAGACACACACTAAAACATATGGTGAACTATCTTTCTCTTTCTGCGCCCCCAAACAATGGAATTCTTTGCCACTACACATACGCAATATACCAACCACCCAGGCCTTCAAAACTGCACTCAAAACATATCTTTTTAAATTATACTACCCTGAATGATTCCCTTCCTCTGACCGATAAATGATCTTGCTGGCTGCCATCCATGGTTTGCCTTGTAAAAGTTATGTGGTGGGGTGGGTGAATATACATTGCTGTTCTTTAGTTCATAAATGTATTGTCATAATGTCATGATTATGTCTCTTTTGATAAAAAAATTTTATGTACAGCGCGGTGAGCCCAGCCCTAGGCTGGGGTACCGCGCTATATAAGACCCCTTATTATTATTATTATTATTATTATCTGACAAAGGCATTTGACTTGGTAAGTCGGAGATGCCTTTTCAGCATCTTGCAAAGAATAGGTTGTCCCCCACGCTTACTCACAATCGTATAGTCATTTTAAAAAAATATGCACAGCACAGTAACCTTCAATGGCGCTGTCTCTGAGTCATTCCCAGTCAGCACCGGAGTAAAACAGGGTTGTGTACTGGCACCAACGCTCTTCTCCATTTTCTTCTCGATGCTCCTTCAATTTGCCTTCAGGTACTGTGAAGATGGAGTTTACATCCATACCAGATCTGATGGTAGGCTGTTCAATATCGCCGCCTTTGTGCAAAGACTAAAGTAAAAAAGGTACTGATTCGTGAACTGCTGTTTGCTGGCGATGCCGCCTTAACATCTCACACAGAAGAAGGTCTGCAGAGGCTGGATAATCATCTATCACACGCTTGTAAAGAGTTTGGACTTTTGATTAGTTTACAGAAAACACATGTAATAATGCAAGAAGCACTGTCCCCTCAAATCATATCTATTGAAGGCCATACTCTTTCGGTTGTTGAGCATTTCACATAACTTGGATCCAATATTTCTAGTGCTCTCTCCATTGATGAAGAGATAAATATCAGGATCGCAAGAGCAGCAGCAACTATGGCTAAACTGTATAAGCGGGTGTGGAATAATCTCACTCTAACAGATAAAACAAAAATAAGTGTCTATCAGGCATGCGTGCTTAGCACGCTCCTATATGGTAGCGAAGTGTGGACCACATACACCAGTCAGGAGCGGAACTCAACAGCTTCCGCCAAAGATGTCTGCGTCGCATTTTACGCATTCGATGGAAGGGCAATGTGCCTAACACAGAGGTCTTGGAATGTGCATATTCTCCACTCTTAGCAAGAGGGGCCTTCTCTGTTTAGGCCATGTAAGGAGAATGGAGGAAGGCCGTATCTCAAAGATGCTGGTTTATGGAGAGTTGGCAGAAGGGACTAGACTTATTGGACGACGTTTGCAAAAGGAGCATGAGGGAAGCCAATATTGAAAACAACCAATGGGAGCTCATTGCTGAAAAATTTTCCACCTGGCGAACAGCATTGTAAAAAAGGCAGAAGATACTTGAAACGAGGCCCTTGCAACACAAAGAGCAATACGGAAGTCAAAATCTTACCAGGAATCAATATTCTCCAGCGAGAAAAGCAGTTGAGATTGTCATTCTAGGCTTGGCCTAGTGAGCCACTCATCAAAGTGCAGGACTACATAGCTACTCCATCATTTCGCAAAGACGGAAGGATGGTAACATATATATTTATATATATATATAATATTATAAATATAATATTATATACGGTATATATATGATAAGAAATCATAAATCATTTTGTAAATTATTTGAAGAAAATGGATTCACAACTGGAGTACAATAATTATTATTTTTGTAACCCTTGATATTATGGGACTTAAATTGTATAAGCCTATCTAAAATTTCATAACATTCTTTTTTAAAATTATAATATTTTGTGTTAAAAACGTTATGGGGGGTGTGAGTTGTTTTGCATCTATCAAATTATTTGTTTTGTTTAGGCATAAAATTAATTATTAGAGATGTTTAAACTGACAACATTTTAGAATATGCTGTCTTATGGGTTTTTATCTTTCCCTCAATATTTAGTATGTTTTTGGTGGTTTGATAACAAAGGACTTCGACTTCCTCTTCATAAATTATACTAGATCTATAATTATTTTTAAATAATTTTTTTCTAGAGAGTACAATAATTTAATAAATATAGTTTTATGTACATAAAATTTAGTTAAAAATGCTAATGATTTAGACAAATTAATCATGCACATGATATTTTTAGGAATAGGCAGTGTCAAATACAATTTGATGCACAAACATGTAAAAGTTTAATTTTTAGCACTTTGCATGGTATTAAATTGATGTATTTGCACCACAAGGCTGCGTTCTCTCTCCTGTACTGTATGCAATATATACAAATGATATTCAAAGCTCAAGCAACACTGTTCCAATCTTAAAATTTGCTGATGATACCACCATTGTTGGCTTAATATCTGAAGGAGAAGGCCTGTACCGTAACTTAGTAACAAGCTTTATCAATTGGTGCGATGAAAATTTTCTCCAGTTGAATGTCTCAAAAACAAAAGAAATTGTTGTTGATTTCAGGAGGGGAAGAACACCAGATTACAGATCTCAACATAAAAAATCAAAATGTGGAGAAAGTGGAGGCGTACAAGTACTTAGGTGTCACCATTAATAATAAGCTAACACGGCCAAATCCTATATAAGAAATTCAACCAAAGACTGTTCTACCTCAAAAAACTACAATTTTGGCGTAAACAAGCAAGTCGTTAACTTATTCTACAGTGCAACTATTGGAAGCCTGCTTAATTTCAGTATTACCTGCTGGTGTGGAAATTCAACGTCTGATATTAAACACCAGATAAACCGACTAATCAAGAAAGCTAGAAACATAACACAAACTAAACATCCGTCACTTGAAGAACTATTTGAAGAAAGATTTTTCGCAAAACTAAACACATTTTGGATGATACATCCCACCCTCTTCATCCTAGATACTTAGGATCGGGCCATTCGGGACGAATTCTTTCCATCAGGGCGAGGACTGACCGATATAAAAATTCTTTTGTTCCCCAATCTGTACGAATTTACCGGCGTGCTTCCTCTGAAGTCACACATCTGAATGAGAACTAATAAGTCCCTGATTTCTTCTATATCTTAAGGGCCCACGATCAATTTATTGATCATTTTGCTAAGAGAACTCACTGAATGGCTGTTTGAAATAATTTATTATAAATGTCTTGTGTTCAAATTGTTTTATTTTTGTGCTGAAAATGTATAATGCAATCAAAAAACATTTCCATTTATTTGGATCAATAAAAGAATCTTATCTTATCTTATTCTGTCTCAGATTTGAGCTTGTCTTTATATATAGTAGACCTTTTTGTTGATAATAAACCATTTTTCTAAATTGGCAGATGTTTTGGATTGAGGAACACCTTCCGCTGTGGATTAAGCCGTATAAGATTGTTGTAACATCAAGAGACAGTGGCATGATTGAGCCTGTAGTAAATGCTGTGTCCCTGCACCAGATTAAAAAACACAGCAAGCTCTCCCTTCTGGACTACTTCATTCATGAGTTTGGACCTGTCACCAGTGAAGAGTTTTTGACAGCTCAGAAGAACTTTGTTCAGAGTTGTGCTGGCTATTGTTTAGTCTGTTATCTTCTTCAGTTGAAGGACAGGTCTGTCTCAATTTCTTAATCATCTCTCAATTTCAATTTAATAGCATGTACCTTTGGAAGGGTTTAATTACTTTGACAAGTGCTGCATTTTAAAATAAAATATTATAAATAGTATCTATAAAATGAGGATAATAATATGAAATCACTTTTTTGTATTGTTGCTTGATAACCAAATAAGACAAAGTTTTTTAAATTTTAATTTTGAAAAAAGAGAAGATTATTTGAATTTAACAATTTAAGCATACTCACAAAAAATTTATTTTGCAATTTATTTGAGATATTATTTGTTCATTTCATTAATTTTTAAAAGAGATGTGCAGGTTCAAAGATTCATCATTACCTCTGGTTGAAGCATATGGTACTTTGCATTCATTGTATCCTCTTCCATCTAACACACCCTTTTTTGGCCTGCTAAATTCCCACCGATTTGGGAATACTTAAGTTTTTCAAGTCAAATAATTTGTTTTTCTTGTTTTACATTGTCTGCTGAAGAGGCCATTTAGTCGAAATGTCCATTTAATGGTTGTATCTTTTTTTTAAAGCCTAAACATATCTTGTTTCACTATTAATTTAATTCACACAGCTTTTACGCAGTCTCCCATATATTATCCTACATTCCCCCACAAACTACACCCTTTTTTGAAAGACAGGAAAAAACTTTTCTTGAATATTTGCCTTCATAAAATCCTCAACATCCAAAATTCCAAACACAACCCTGAGGGAAATGACAGCCCAAATCACAGTGGAGCCAAAACTTGGACAAGATGGGAGATGGATAGGTCATACCTTACCTATGCCAAATATAGCAAGACAAGCACTAGTCTTTAACCCTCAAAGATCAAGAGGAGCCAGAAGACCCAAAAAACAAATATTAAAGTCTGAAAATTAACACTGTCACATTTTCATAATGATAGGGGGTGGGCCTCTACAGAATGTACATATATTATTAAAAAACTCTACAATATTCATCCTGAAACTCTGAAAGTCTAAAAATAGCATATTTATATCTCGAATGCTGTAAAAATATCAAACAATGTTTTGTAGGCATTATCGTCATTATGTTGCCATGTATTTTCACAAATTAACTCGCTAGATATCCTCAGAAAGTACTAAGTAGTAGAGGTATTACAGTAATATTAAGTCCACCTTATGCTCAACATGCATGTTACTATATTTTGTTGGGCTATGGTCGTCCTGCTAAAGATTTTGTAATTTAGGTTTTCACCAGCTTCCCTGTGTTAAATTCTAACAAGTACACTTCGAAATAGCGAATACATAAACAAAACAAAATAAAGGGTTGGATAAAAATAAATATAACACATATGTAAGTCACTAAGCGCCATCTTTTAACTGCAAACAGTGGTTACTCAAGTGTGTTACTGTTTGCACCACGACCGAAAGATGTCACGTTGGATTAAAAGTGGAAATAAAATTACGAAAATTGTGTAATATTTCACAACGCCCTAGTGAGGAAGCCTTGGATAGCCATAAAGAAAAATGTTCACTCCCTCCCCATGGCGGACAAGGACTATTGTTAGTGCCCTTTGTCTTTGTGAAGTAAATGGGATTTTATAGTTATTTTTATAGGCCCCAAACAAAATGTTATAAAAAGTTCAAGTTCCTCTAAAAGTTTCTTCAGGATAATGATGGATATATGTGCCAAGTTAGGTCAAGATCCATCAATCCATGTAGAAACCTACTTGGAACAAACAAAGAAACCCACAAACAAACAAATGTTCACTTTGATATATCTATTCATCTATAGACAGTATACCTGGCACACTGCCTGGGATTGCATTCAGAAAAACAACTTCTTGACCTTTTTTTTAATTAACATTGAAATTAAGACCCATGTAAAAAAACAAAAAAAAACACCCCATAGTAAATAAAATAATTCAACAATAAATTTGTCTCCTATAAAAAAAACAACTTGTGTAAACCTTTTGTTTTCCAATTCAAAGGGTGTCCTGATCCATGTGTGGGGCTACCCTTTTCAGGTGGGATCCCAATCCTCTTTGAAATACAATCCTAGTGGCATCAAGATACCTGTGGGATCTTGATACTTCTAGGTTCCCGAGCCTGTCGGGATCCCGTTTTCCAGTGGGATGCCAATCCTGGTGGGATCCTGTTTTCCAGGGGGGTTCCGATCCTGGTGGGGTCCTGATCCCGGTGGCAACCTGTTTTCAGGTTGGATCCCGATGACATTAGGATCCTGATTCCGTTTAGGATCCCGTTATCGGTGGAATTCCGTTTCCCATTGGGATCCTCTTCTCCAATAGGATAAGGTTTCCTGAAAGGATCCCGATCCAGGTTTGATCCCATTCCAGATGGGATCACATTACCATTGGGTTCCAGTTTACTATTGGATCTCATTCCCCATTTGGACCCTGTTACTTGGTGGGATTATGTTCTCAGTGGGATTTTGTTTCCGTTGGTATTAGGAATGGTATGTTTTGAGCAAATCCCCATGCAATCAACCAACAATTTAATAGCCTTTTAGATAGCCACGTTAATCTAAATGTTAATTGATATCTATAGCAGTAGCAGATACACGCCTGCAAAGCAAAGTGATCGCTGATAGCTATATAAACATCATTCATCATCATGTAGAAGTTACCTTTTTTGATGCTCCACTAGACACGTGATGCGAGTAGTTGTTGTATGCATTTTATATAGGGTATGTTGATTGATTTATATTAAGGTGCTGTGTTGTACAATTTTGAGATGATATTGTACGATTTTTGGAGTTTGAGGGTAAACAGGTCTGCTCTTCTTTTACATTTTTAAAATTATTATCATATAATTGTTTATCATTTCAGGCACAACGGCAATATTTTGCTGGATTCAGAAGGCCACATTATTCACATAGACTTTGGTTTCATCCTGTCAAACTCACCAGGGAAAAACCTGGGCTTTGAAAATTCACCTTTTAAGCTTACACATGAATTTGTGGAGGTAAGATTTTAAATTTCTATTAGTAATACCAATTAAAAAAATTGTTTTTCTGTAAATCCGTTATTGCCGTCAGTTGTGCACTTTTTTAATTAATGATAAATCTTCTCCGTTCATTTGAGATATTACCCTTTTGAACTGTTGCCATTTATTTTGTTTTTTTACACTCACGTGTTCATTCAGTGCTCAGTAAGTACCGGTACTTTTGAAACTTTGATTCCAGCCTTGACTGATTTGCTAGTTCTAATAGGTTGTAAGCACTTATAGCATCTGTGAAGCAAGATAGATACAAGCTGGACAGATAACTTTGGTGTCTGGAGAAATGCTACTGTACTCGGGGCATGAAGAGGAGAATTCTCCGCACATGCAATGAGTCACTTTCATGTTGTCAAGGATGCATTGATTGGATGGGAAGCCCATGGATCAAGAATAATAACAGCAACGTTCCGAACCAAGAAAAAGAAAATAAGGATGAACATAATACAGTGTTACGCATCCACCAACGATAGCAAAGAAGACGAGAGAGAAACATTCTACAATAGACTACAAGCAATAATAGAAAAATTCCAAAGTAGAGACCTGAACATTTTAATGGGAGACCTAAACGCCAAGATCAGAAAAGCAAACGGGTGTGAGGAAATCATGGGATGCCATGGTGTAGTAGAGAGGAATGAGAGCGGTGAAAGACTAGCATACTTCTGCGCAATAAATGATCTTGTTATTGGAGGCAGCAAATTCCAACTAAAAACATCCACAAGATAACATGGGTATCCCCGGACAACAAAATGCAAAACCAAATAGATCACATATGTATTAGCAAAAAATTTAGATGGTCTCTACAAGATGTACGAGCACAAAGAGGAGCTGATGTCACATCAGATCATCATCTTGTTTGGGCAAGACTTAAGTTAAAAGAGAAGAAAAACTGGGAACAGCCAGCTGCTAAACGAACAAAATTCAATGTAGTACTATTGGCAAATGAGCAGTAACGAGAAGAATTCAGTGCCATCTTAAGAAATAAGTTCCAATAAACTACCACAAATGACATCCGAATAGTATTAGTCTAATAGGACCCTGGTGCGAATGGTGGTGATGCGGGTCCATTTGGACTAAATGCTATTCGGATGTCATTTGTGGTAGTTTATTTTAGTTAAACTGAAGAAGTAAGTTTACAAACATATAGTCCATTCAATTATCTTTAATTTGATACCTTTATTTTGTCTTACAAACTCAACAATAATATTATAAATAGGTTTTTTTAATCCCAACCTGTCACTTCTGGTACCCGGGTGCGAATAGTCGCAGCCCTGCAAAAAATTAAAGAGAGAAAAGAAATAAAAAGTGTACTTAATAGCAGCCCCACCCTGGCAGAGAAAACAAAAGCTCAAGATAAATATTCAGAAGCAAATCAAAGGCTAAACAGCATCAAAAAAGATACAAATACCTACATAGATGGTCTAGCAACAACAGCAAAAGAAGCAGCCATGAAGGGCAACTTGAAAGAGCTTTATGACGTTACAAGAAAGCTGTCAGGAAGATACAAAAGGCCGGAGAGACCTGTTAAAGATAAAGAAGGCAGATCATTAACAGAAAGGACAGAACAACAAAAAATATGTGTAGAATGCTTTAAGGACCTATTAAACAGACCCCAACCAACAGACACACCAAACATACAACCGGCCATAGCTTCCGCCATTTTAGCTTTTAAAAAAAAGCGATATAAAATTCCGATTAAAAAGTACTTATTGTTAAGTTATCAAGAGACAGCTTGACCTGGAAGTAGATTTAATTATTAATAAAAGGAAGCGGCTACGATTTCTGTTAAATATTGGATTGGAAGTTGCTATCGGACCGTGTTTTTATCGGCCGATTTCGTCGGCCGACCACAGTTAGAGGGTTAAAGAATCACTGTAGAACAGTCCATCGAATGGAACTCCCCTCTATATATAAATTTTATAGACTACGAAAAGGCCTTTGATAGCCTGGACCGACAAACCTTGTGGCAACTTCTTCTGCACTATGGAGTACCAGGAAAACTACTCAGGATCATTCAGAGTTCTAATGAAGAAATGACTTGCAGGGTAGTCCACGAAGGTAGACTCACAGATGATTTTAAAGTGGAAACTGGAGTGAGACAAGGATTTCTCTTTTCCCCCTTCCTAGTCATCCTAGCTATTGACTGGATAATGAAAAAATACACAGACAAAAAGAGGAACGGGAGGATACAGTGTCCACTCTGAAAACAACTGAATGACCTACACTTTGCAGATGACATTGCACTTCTGTCCCACAACCAGCAACAAATGCAGGAAAAGATGTAGCCACCATTTAGCATATAAATAAAAGCATGACGAAGCTCATGAAGGTAAACCCACTCCAACCAAGAGCATATCTCTCAGGTAGGAAAGGCACAGGAAGAAGTGGAGTTCTTCACATACTTAGGCAGCAGCATCAACATAAATGGCGGATCCGAACCGCATGTAAGGGCCAGAATTGGAAAAGCTATATCAGCATTTGTGCTATTACAGAAAATATGGGAGTCAGAATCTTTAACACTAATGTCAAAACAGTTTTACTATATGGAGCAGAAACTTGGAAAACAACAGCACGCATTACGCAGAAAGTACAGACCTTCATAACCACATGCCTTAGAAAGATCCTGAACATCAAACGGCCAAATACCATCACTAACTAAGATCTACTAGAAAGGACTTATCAGGTGCCCATTAGTGAAGACATCATAAAGGAGAAGATGGAGGTAGATTGGGCATACTCTCCAAAAAAAACCAGATAGCATCACCAGACAGTCTCTAACATGGAATCCACAAGGAAAAAGAAAGAGAGAAAGGCCAAAGAATGCATGGAGATGTGAATTTGAGGCAGACACGCACAATATGGGATACACCTGGAAAGAAAAGCACTGTGATGAATGGAAAATTCTTGCGGACGGCTTATGCCCCAGATGGGGTAAAAAGGCATAAAAAGAAGAAGAAAAGCGTATAAATAAATTGTAATACACTTCAGAAAGCTCAAAACATTGAAATTAATTTTCAAATAATCAACAAGTCAAGATCTATGGCTTAGTGAAGTGTTTTCTCCTTTCTATAAGATATTTTCTGACCCTAGTTGTACCTGTTCCAATCACTGTAATATTTATTTTGGCTTTGCAGGTCATGGGTGGATTAGGCAGTGACATGTTTGAATATTTTAAAATTCTGATGCTTCAAGGCTTTGTGGCATCTCGCAAACATATGGACAAGATACTACCTCTGGTGGAGATAATGCAAACAGGTAAGTACTTGTTAATACTGGAAAATTTACAAATTCACAAATCATGACCCATTCTTCAACTAGAAATGGTTAATAGTGTTAAAAGCCACATTATTAAGATTCTGCATGATTTAAATTAAGAAAACCTGAAGTTTAATCTTGTTTCAAGCCATTTGGCTTGTTTATAGGTTCATCTAACATTTGTTGGACTGAGGTGGCATTGTTTGTTCTTTGGTTGTTATTGTGATATTTTTCTTAAACCTCTTTCATTTCTGGATGCATTTGTCCTTAACTTATACCGCAAGTTAATTAATATTTAGCAGCTTAAAGAACTATTTTAATATTATAAATTAATGGGAAAACAGAGTTACTTCACTTTGTTCTGGAATATGGATTAATGCAGAAGTGGCACAGCTGGAGGGAATAAGTTAAACATAGGTAAAACTATTTTTACAATGCCTTAAGTTCAATTAAAACTTTTAATTTAACAACTTCTCAAGTTCAATGTCATGTTTGTCTTTTCTTTTAAGGAGGTAAACATTTTAAAAATGGTAAGATTTTAATATTTTTGTTGGTACCGGCAATGTAGAAGCAAAATAATAAAACATACCGGTAGTAAGTGTCAAAAGAATTTAAATTAAAATATTGCATTGATTCATGAAACACACCGTTTTTTAATCTATTTTTAAAGTTGCAAAGAAGAATGTTAAACATGCAAAGAATAATACTGTTTTGGTAGTACCAATACCTCCAATATAATTTTATTTTTACCGTACTAACCACCAGTAACAGCCCTGTTAATTTTTATTTACTTTACATATCATTCTTATTGAAAATAGGGCTAGGATTTTTTTTTAAAAATCTCTTCTGAAAGTTACTTTAATGTGTAACACACCTAAAAACATATATTCTATATTAAAAATTTCAAACATATTAGTGTGAGTGTAACTGGTGTCGGTTTAGCAGAACAACAGAATCTTCCTTTTCATTGTTTCATTCTTCACGGATCTTTTCTTTTACTTGCAATCGTTTATTAAAGCCTGGAAACTCCATGTATGGTAGTAAAAAAAAAATATTACTAGTACTGGTACATTATAATAACCCCAGAAGTACTGGTAAATTATATGTTACCAAGTTTGACCAACATGCAACAATTTATGTAAAAGCCTGCATTGTAACAAGCCTTCGTGTATAGCTTTGAAAATACATCGTAGAACTCTCTACACTCATTTGGAACTCTCTACACTCATTTGGAATTTTCTAGAAACTTAAAAAATATCTTAAACTCTAATTTACTAATTGTAATTGTAACATTGACAAAAATCAATGAGACCTATTAACTTATACTTAAAGAAACAAAAAGGACATTTTTATAGAACCTTAACCCTATAACTGTCATTAAAAATGCTCATTGATTTAATGTATATTGTTTAAGGGGAAATCACTCTATATAAATGAGTTTGCTTCATATTCCCGTTACTATCAGTATCTAGAGTATCAGTGTGTTTACGTGCTTTTGTTAACTGGGATTTTTTTGTGATTAATCGGGTGTGAAATTTTTTCAATGCCATTAACATCTGAGATTCCGGAGAGGGGCACCCTTTTTGATTTCAAAATTAACACAGAATTTCTTTATTTGAATTATTTAAAATATATTAAAATGAAAGCAAAGATATCGGAGATATTCAACGTGCAAGTGTAATGACAGCTTAGGCTCTTAGGTGATGTCGAGATAAGAATCATAAGTTGACAATTGTATCCCTAAGTAAGCTTAGTCGTCTTGTTACAGACAAATTCGTTTGGGAAAGGATGGAAATGGAACAGAAAAAGACACCGATTTGAATTAATTTGATCCCAATGATCTACCACTAAGACTGTGGACTGTGCCAAGAGCCAGTCAATTGGAACAGCAAAGGCATAGCGTGGGACATGTGGAATCTGGTTCCACCTGCTATGTGCCGATGATCGATCCATGGACTACGGTGAAACGAGTTAACCCTCTTTTGCATGGTCTTGTCCACGCTGCAACAGCATCAACAATGACAGCTTCACATTCCACAGCTATCAATGTAGTATCAACTGAATTACTCAGAATCCTTCTCTTCTCTCTCATCACCCAATTCAAACGCTGAATCTAAAGTAACGCCTTACCCATTTTCACCGCATAGAACTAGTACCCCAAAACCCCACCATCCCAGCCAACCGCCCTACTCCACCCGAAGGCATCCCACAACCTCCCCTTCTATCCCTGACCACCCCAAAAATGCAAACCTCCGCCTACTAAATATCACCTGCCAAAGCATAGAATCAAAGAGACAAGAGCTCGCAGCCATCATCCAAAACACCAAACATGACATAATATGTGGAACAGAGTCATGGCTCAAAGGCATAAAAACTGGGAAAGAACCAACCCTGGACCACATAAAGTTCTCAGAAGTCTTCCCGGTAGATTACAATGTGTATCGTCATGACCGTGCAACAAAAGTTGGCAGCGTCTTCATCTTGATGCACAGATCCCTCACATCAGTGGAACAACCGCACTTGGTCACAGCCTGCGAAATAGTATGTATGTAAATTAAAAAACAAGAAAGACCTGCATCGGTGCCTTCTATATGCCCAAAAGAACCCAGTGCGACCTTGACGAACTCCAAAAATCCATCAACATTCTTACAGCCAATGGCAAGCACCCACGCGTCATCCTTTCTGGTGACTTCAACTGCCGTGATATAGACTGGACCACGCATACTGCCCACTCCACCGGCAAAGACAACACCATTCAGCAATCACTGGTCGACTTGACCTGATCCTCACTACTCACTCAAGTGCAGAGGACACCAACACGTCAAAATAGTATCATAGTCCTTATCTTCACCTCCAACCCCACCCTTGTTAAACAATCCACGTGTGTCCCAGGCAAACCATGATGCAGTCTTGCTGACTTCTACTCCAAAGCTCAAATAACGCGCCAGAAACCCAAGAGATCTTACAAGTTCGTTAAGGCAAACTAGGACAAGATCAAACTAGATCTCGCCGCCGCTGAACAGGTCATCCTAAAAAAAAATATAACGAGGGAGAGGATGTAGATACACTATGGTCGACCTTCAAAAATACCTTAACCAACAGCATAGATCAAAATGTCCCTTCAGTGACAGCAAAGAATCCATGTAATCTACCATGGCTGAACACGCGGCCCAAGAAGCTGCTGAAGAGAAAGAAAAGACTATTGAAGAAAGCCCAAACTACCAAAAACTGGACCCTGTACCCCCAGTTCCAGAAACATTGTCAGGGGGAACTAAGAAGAGTAGAGTGGCAGGACATAAATGGAGTGATTCAAGAAGGCCTCGAAAACAACACAAAACCCTTCTGGCGCTGCATTAAATCCAGGAAGCAAGACAACATCGGCGTAGCCCCCCCTACTAGAAAACGGGGAACTTGTAAGCGATGAACAATGCAAAGCAGAAATTCTGCTAAGGCAGTTTCAATCCGTCTTCACCAAAATTTCCACCACAATCATACCATCCCTAAAACCATCACCTGGTATCCCTGACTCTATCCCGAACATTGTCCTGAAGACCCCAACCATGACCCAAATTTTCCAAAAGTCACTTGACTCCGGCACAACACCCGCTAGACTGGCTTGATGCAACTATCACTAGTGGCTACAAGAAAGGTGACCATCTAACCCAGCAAACTACCGCCCAATATCCCTGACCTCCATTCCATGCAAAATTCTATAACACATCATCTGTCCCCACATCATGAACCACCTTGAACACTACAACATTTTGACCAACCTAAACCACGGTTTCCGCTATGGATTCTCAACAGAAACTCAATTAATCATCACCACCAATTACCTCCTTGCCTCCTATGACAAAGGTACCCAGATCGACATGGCAATTCTCGACTTCTCCAAGGCCTTCGACACTGTTCCACACAGCCTTCTTCTACATATGCTCCACCACTACGGCATTACCAGCAACCTTCACTCCTGGCTCTCAACATTCCTAACACAAAGTACCATGCAAGTAGTGGTAGATGCCATCCGATCAGGGAAAGCCACCATAGACTCAGGAGTTCCACAAGGCACAGTGCAGGGCCCCCCTTCTCTTTCTCTGTCACATACTGTAAAATACCAAGTGAGGCTGTTTGCAGATGACTGTCTTGTCTACAGAGAGATAAACGGCTACGATGACCACAACCACCTCTAAGCAGATTTGAAGTGCCTTATGAATTTGGCATGAAATTTAATGGAACCAAAATCTACACAATGAGCATCTCAAGAAAAAAAAACATCAACTCTATATGTACTCACTAAAGAAGACAATTCTCTAACAAGTATCAAATAATCCATACCTTGGAATTCTCTTCTCAAATAACCTAAAATGGTCGCCCCATATAAACAAATTTTTTTTAAAAAGCCAACTCCACACTAGGTTTCATTCGAAGAAATCTGCGCCAATGCCCAACTTCCTGCAAACGAAATGCCTATCTTGCACTTGTCCGTCCACTACTAGAATATGGTGCGATCATCTGGGATCCACACCTAAAGAAAGACGTGGACAAGATGGAGCGAATCCAACGTAACGCGATGTGCTTCATCACTTCATCTCACGTGACTACAAATCGACCACTTCTGGCTTCGTCACTGGCCTCTTAAAACTTAAAAAGATTTGATATCCCCTCCCTTAAAGACAGACGAGAGGGGCTCCGCTTGATATTCTTATATAAAGTGGTCATGCAGCAGGTACGTACCTCACCCCACAGAAGCCAGGTCGATTGATCAGAGCCAAACGATCACTGAACAATGATTTCAACACTGACAACCTCATAAACAACTACACCCGAAACAACAACAAATCCTTCACTGTGCCTCGGTGTAAACACAGTGCAGTATAAAAAATCATTCTTCCCACGCACAATAATTGCTTGGAACCACCTGGACAATGCCGCTGTGGACTCAACATCGGTCGAAAGCTTCAAGGCTTCCCTGGCATCTGCTAGGAGCTGTTAGAATATAACATCACTTCCCCAACCTTGCACAGATGCCAGTATATGGATGCAGCAACGAACACTACCAGAATAAAAAGCGTAATTGTAAACTAGAACTAAATGAAACAAATAATCCCATTATTATTTGTTTATACTTACAAATGTTAAGCAATTCAACAGAACATTTGAAATTATGATTTTTGAGCGATAAATTTTTTTTAAATATTTGAACAAAATAAATTTTAATTACAAATAAGTGATGAGTCAGCATATTTATAAATTCTTAAATTCCAGTAGGAAAATAATTGAGTTTTTTCTTTAATTTATTGCGGCATATTAACAAAAACTAACTTATATTTTGGGGCTTTATTTAGAAGTACCGTGAAATGGGGTGACTTTGCCTACTTTTGGCCTTTAAGCATAAATTTCAACATGTTAACTGATCTAAAAAATAACACAAAGGGACTAATGTACAGAGTGGGTACCTGAACTTTGTTGTTATAGCTGAATTAATTCATAGTTTGATCAGGTTAAGTTGATAATTCAGGCTTTTTGAGATTTGTCAACCTAAGGAAAAATGGGGTGACTTTGCCCTTTTAAGGTGAAAGACAGCACAATGCATGTAGAAATGATCAAACCCAGCAAATAAGTTCTTTTCTTTTCTGTATTTAATGTTTAATCATAATATTTTATTATAATGAAAGGTTGGAAGAAAATATCAACACCAGTTCACATAAAAAATGATTGTCAGTGATCTATCCTTTCGAGGCAAACCTTCATCATAGGTTTTCACATTTACTATATGAAAGCTTTAATTTGTGAATTTGTCACAGTAGACTGTAACTGTAATTATAATATCTTTCCTATTATCTCAGCTTATATCTTTGGCACATAACATCCTCATCTTGTTGTACAAAATCCATTCACCAAGTCATCTCGAAGATTGTTATCGTGGAATCGTTTCACCGCAAGTTCGCTGTCATCAAGATTGGTCCATAATAAAAAATTTAGGCCAAAATGTAAATTGTTTCTAGTTGAGGCCTTCCCAAATCTGATAAAGTCTTTAGGTGCTTTACTAAGTTGACTTTAATTCATTTGGCAAAGAGCTTGCCCTCCAGTTGTTTTCTTGTGGCTACAGTAACATTTACTAAATTCAAAGAGTTATTAAATCAATGGTGTCTTTCACTTATAGATGACTTCTATAGGCCTGGTAGTAAATTATCTTTTACAATTCACACTTATCATTAAGCTGAGTGTCTTTAATATAGCCTCTACAGCTTCTGTTAATAGGAGATCTTGTTAAGTCATGGCATTATGATCTGGAAAAACAAGAGCAAATGGAGAAATCAATACAAAAATCATTGTATCAGTCCATGGGGTGACTTTGCCCCTTGCTGTGAAAGAAAAGCAATGACGATTTATTCAACTTTAACTTAACTAACAAAGTAACGAACCTTTTTATCACTGAAATTTATGCACATTAAATGCATAGGGAAATAAATTATAATACCTTTGTTACGCACTGACTTGTATTGGGAGAAATTAATCTCCTATTTTAATTGGCTCGTTGTAAACAGTGCCTAACAAAGGACGATACCATAGAATCAACAATATTAAAGATAGGACCCATAACAGTTTCTAGTTACAATTAATAAGATTTATTAAGGCTTAAGATGATTACAAAAGAAAAGAAAATATAATTACAATCTTCAACTTACAGTATGGTAGATCTTGTACCGGTACACAGTTAATACAGTTAGAATAATGTGCCAATTAATAATGCGAAATAAACACATGAGCACACCAATACACAAAGAATAAAACACGCCTCGTAATGTTAAGAAAATCTATCTGAAATCTCCCTCCCTTCGTATCTGTCAATGCTTTTTATACATGTAGCGTAAGACGCTTCCAGAAGGACCTATGACGTGTTGTTTACATATCTCGGGTTAAGGAGTACATTCGAGAAGTTACCCGGAGAAATTCTTTTTCTACCCAATGCGTAATTGGAAGCCGAATGTAAACAAGCTACATGAAAGAGATTTAGCCACGCCCACAACAGACGTTACTGTCTGCTAGGAGTGTACTACGAGGTCGAGGAAAGTTCACGCACAGGAAATTGTGCTACATAACACCTTAAAATGAAAGTTTAAACTCACCTAAATCAGCAAAATATCGATGTCCTGAGTCTAAGAGCTCAAACAGTCAAATCTTATTGTTTGGCATGGTGAGGAAAGCGAAACAAGATAAAGCAACATGTCTGCTTTCATGGGAATTTAAAAAATTAGGGGAAAGAACTCTAGAAAATCATGAAAAACAACTTTCTCAATATAAGTATTTAATAGGCAAAGTCACCCCGTTTCACGGTATTCTTATTTAACTTTGTTCCCTGTAAATATTTCATTTTTGTCATTTTATAATAAAGTTATAGGCTTTTAAAAAAAAAGGGGGGGGGAGGGGGGGGCGAAATGAGGGTCACAAAATGTGGAGGAAAAAATTCGAAAAGTGGTTTTGAGGCCCCTGAACCACTTGAGTTATAACTAGAAAGTTGATCTTGAACTTGATGTTTTTGTTATCTATTCTCCAGGCTCTATACTGCTGTAGTAATCAAAATAGTAGTATGTTCATATTTTTAAAAATGTTTTGAAATTTTCATGAAAGTACCTAATGTGTAAGTGTAAGGCAAGGGTCTCTGAATTCATTTATTTTAGTCTGGGATTTTTGACAAGCAATCAAGCATAGAAAATTGCAAACCGCATAGTTATAGTGTTAAAACCTTTTTCTTTTTAAAAAGGAATTCTAGAAAAAGGTGGATACTAGTAGTACCGGTATTTAATAAATCACTTGTTAAAAAAGGGTTAAATAACTTGTTAAAAAAAAGGACTCAGGACTCTTTGTACTACCATACGGTAATCGCTATCGGTATTCCAGCCAATACTAATGTACCGGAACTGTATTGAAAGAGGTGAACGGTGAAAGAGGTTTCCATTAAAGTTAAATTAAAGGTCCCTGTGGGGACCCATTTGAAAAGGTGGCGTTGTATGACAAAGACTAAGGACCAAGGATAGGAACCCTGAATATTTCATCAGTTAAAATTGTAAAAGTTGTCCCATTAAAACTAAAACCGGTTTAAAAAGTTAAGTGATATACCGGTGTTGTACATCATACATCCTCCAGTTTTTAGATACTGTACCGGTATATATTTTCTGGTGCATTAGTACCAAGTTTGGTTTAGATCTAATAGTACTGGTACCGGTACTAACTAATAAATTCATTTTTGTAATTTTATTTAGGGTGTAAGTAGTGTAAGCTCAAAAATTTTTTATTAAATTTGACTAATTTTAGCCCTTAGGATAATGATTAATTTTAATACTGGTAGTGATTTTTTAGAAATATATTCATGTCAACGTTTGGTTAAATTGAAAAAACTATACTATAAGGTATAAAAATATATGAATGTAAATATTAAAAAGGGTAAATTTACACTATGGACTGAATGTGTACCATAACAAATTGAGCCTTTTACTTTCAGTTGTCAGATTATAACAGGTTTACCTGGTACTCGTAAAATGCACTTATTCATTCAGTGACATGCTGATGAGTCAATGCTGATAAAGTTAAAGTTTTCACTTTACCCGTGACATTTTTCATTGTCACCTTTTGGGATAAGGGGTTTATCATTTGAAGATCAAATTTGGTATCAGTAGGTTTGGTTTTCTTGTGTTTGGTGACAGTCACACTTGAGCTCTCTTTAGTACCAGTAGTGTTGAAAATTATTCATAAAGGGAAAGTGACCCACTAACCAGAATATTCTTTTACCCTCAGGTTCTCAGCTCCCCTGTTTCAATAAAGGTATCAGTGCTATTCGGGCATTCAAGGATCGATTTCATATGACCTCAACTGAGGAACAGCTGCAACTTATTGTGGATGGTTTGGTTGAGGCAAGCTTGCATTCTCTCACCACCAAACTCTATGATGGGTTCCAATACTTCACCAATGGCATATTGTAAACATTAAAAATTTATCAAAATTAATTTGTCTTAAATTCTGTTCTCTTACTCTATGCAGATTTTTATTTGATGTATGTGACTTGCTCCAGTGATATTAGTAACAAAATGCAAGATTTATAAGTAAATCTTTAAGTTTAAGACACAGCCCTGCTCCTAGTTGTGATGTCTTAGGGACTGACTGTATTGTAATGGGGAATTAAATTTTTAAATATTCTATGAGTGAATTTATCTGCCTATTGGCAAATGATTTGCAATGCAGCTTAATCAAAAGTCTTGGGAATGTGTTTTCTACATTGTTTGTTCAACATGGGTGCTTGCGGCACCAATATGTTGTGTCCCTCTATTTGAGCTGCCTCAAGCTATTTCATCAATAAACTCATGTATTTCATGTTCTGTGGTCTTTTTTCTCTTTCTTGTAAATATGTAACAAAAAGACCAAAAAGTTTTCAGTATGGTATTTTAAACTTTTTATTATCAAACATTCAGATGAGGAGGTTGGGTGATCAGTCAAATAAACCTGAAAAAGACCACAAAAAAAGTTATTGTACAATTTTGAGATGAATGTCAGAATCAGTACTTTCAAATTCTAATAGAGCAGTCAGCAGACACCAGATTATAGTTTTAAAATATGCTTTAAAAGTTGTGTACCTGGTACACTAACACTACTGGTACTTGTATGGTAAAGTATTACAGTAAATATTTTAGATAAATCTGGGGCTTTTAGGAAAACAGAAGGCAGAAGGGAATGCTCCTGGCTGGTCAATTTTCAGAATTCCCTGAATAATGGACCCTATTTCTTTAAATTAAAAAAATGCCAAGTGTGATGCAATGCTTACCAAAGCCCATGTCTTCATCAGAATGCTCGGAATCCTCTTTCTGGGCTTCTTTCTTCTTCTCTTCTGCAATAAAGGTGGTAAATCAATTGTTGAAAACAGTACAATGTGTAGGCTAATAAATTAAATCAAGGTAACTCAATAAAAAAATTTTTTTTTTAATATACCGGTACCAGTATTACTGGTGACCAGATTATCCCCAGTAACAAGTTTCAAAATGCTGTAAATGGGATTCTTTTAAAAGTGTAATTATTTTTTTCTGAAGTGGTGAAATAAATGTGCCAAGCATGGGAAACAATATTAGCTGAAAATATAATTAAAGGCTTAAAACAATATTCCTTACCTAGAGGTCAGCATTGAACATAAATCTGGCAAGGGCATTGAGAATTAACAAGGCATACGAACCACTAGCAATTTTTTATAGGTGAAATAGAAAAATTCTTGTGTACAAACCTGCGGGGGCTTTAGCGGCCGGTACAGCCGCTGCAGTAGGGGCGGCGGCAGCAGCGGCAGGTGCAGCACCAGCAGAACTTCCTACATTTGAAATCAAATCTTTGACATTCATGCCATCCAGAGCCTTAGCAAAAAGACCTGAGGAGTTAATGTTGAAAGTTAATCATGCTGCTACAACAATGCCTCAGTTTACCAAAACTATTTTTCAAAAATATTTTTTAATACAAATCGGCTTACTATTAGTATTAGCAGAAATAAATGGCTGCAATCGAGAGACCACATGCAGGCACTACATTATCGTATTCCATGTATTGATTGATTATTTATATACCGGTAGCGCTGGTATCCATGCTACTTTCAAAGAGCACACTCTGTAAGACTTTTTTTCTGTGTTAATCCACACTAGGAATTTTCGATAAAGACTTGAAGACCGCAGGTTCTTGATAAATTTTTATTTAGGCCAATATGATCTGAAGGGGAACTTTACTTCTCAAAGACTCGCAATGCATCCTACGACCAGCAAGTTTCCAACAATTTTTTAATGCTTTTTTTTGTATTTAGACCCATAGTTTCAACAGTGACAGTATGGCTTTTTATATTTAGACCCATAGTTACAACAGTGGCAGTATGGCTTTTTGTATTTAGACCCATAGTTACAACTGTGGCAGTATGGCTTTTTGTTTCAATTATCAACATTTTTTTTACAAGAGCTAAAATTGTTGATGTCAATGATATTGATATGTTTTAAGTACGGTACTGGTATGTTCATTTCATTGTCATCACTAAATGTTATTTCAACTATTTCTGGAGCGGCATATTGTGCCCCTACTTATTATGATACTTATTAGAAAATAAAATGAAACAAATAAAACGTGACATATTTTTTCAGCTTAACATTAATGCACAACTCTGAGATATAAAATATTTGAATAAGTAAGTTATTAATAATTATTTGTTTATTAGAGAAAAAACAAATGGATGTTAAAGTCTATGAGTGGAATTATACAAAGAAAAATAAACAGCTAAAAGTATATAACAATGTACAGTTAGAACAGCTGTATCATAATATAACACTACGAAATAACCATTAAAATATGTTTTTTTTAAATTTTCTTTATAAAAATGAAGCTTCCCCGACGGGGAATCGAACCTATGATACAATGTCTGCTGGGTGACGGTCGGAGATACTGACCACTACACTATCGAGGAGATGTGTACATGTGAACTTTGTATTGTATATTCATTATTTAATTTATCACATTCTGTGAATAACGTTTAGCGTTATCGGCAGACCGGAATCTGTGAATAACGGCGAGCCTTATCCGCACAGCTCTGTGAATAATCACTTCGTACATATTAAACCTAGATGATTCCATGATTTACCTGGCCAATAAGGTTCAACAGATACTCCTGCAGCCTTCAGTAAAGTAGCTATCTTGTCACTCTGAAATAAAAATAAAACTTTTTTTAAATTTGATGTGCCATTTATTTTTATAAAACAAATTTATTGTGAATGTGCAAATATGACTTAAAAAGGACTATTTTGGCATAAGTAAAATAGGTAGGTCTACTTGGATGAGGCCATTATTGACGCTATCACTGTCCATGGGGTTTTGAGATGCTTTTTTTTTAGCACCTGGACGATAGGGCTTGTGATAAAAATGTCTCATCAACTAACAAATTACCAGCTACATTAATGAACAGGCTTTAACCCACCCATTTTATTTTGAGTAATATATGTCCTAAGCAAAAGAATTTTGAGAAATCAGCTAATAAGTCTAATAATATTTACAAAACTATTCCTTGTCCTATTTTAAATCGACCCAACGTAACTAGAAAAATGGTTAAAATGTATCAAAAATAACCATGTGAAATTCTCTCAGATGGCCATAACATGATAACAGGGTTATTTTTTTAAACTTTTGAAATGTAAAAATGTATGATGATGTAAAAGGGGTGGGGGCGGCTAATACTAAGACTAGGTCTGACTAGGTTAAGTGACTTGATTGTAGACCAAAAAAAAGGCATGAATACTCAAGCTCTGAAACATGTAGATGTCGTTAGGATAAAATTAAATAATCTCGCCAACAAAAAGATGAAACAATGGCAACATTTTGTACTGATTTTGGTGATCTAAAAATGCTAGCAATAAACTTTTGGTTACGGTATCTACTTACGGTGATGGCAACTTGATCATCTGCCAGGATTAGTGCGGCATAAACACAGGCAAGTTCGTCTTCTCCGGACATTTTTTAGTTATTTGGGTTAAATGTATATGGATTGCTGTAAAATAATAGTGTATGTCGCCGGATAGGCCTTAGCTCGTTAGAGAACAGTACACTTTACAACAACGCTGAAATGAAAAAGGAAGTGAAGAGCCTGAAAAAGCTTGTTTCCGTTTCCTGTACTTTTAGAATTACTTCCCTTGCTGAGGTGAAAAATAAGTTCGAATTTTAGGCCTAGTTATAATTCTACAATAGCCATCAAGAAGGAGCGGAAAAGAGGTGAAGCAGTGTGACTTCATTAAAATAATTAAATTCTTTTATCAAATATTTAACACCATCTTCAAATCCATGTGACGCAGCAAAATTCATAAAAAACGTAAAAATATTATTGCCGGGATGAGGATTTTTCAGGATCTCACATTAACTGCCACATGGCTCAGTTTTAATACCTATTCTATTCTCCGTGTATACCAGACAGCTTGGCAGAATTATTGAAAGTTGTAGTATATCCCGCAAATTATTTGTGGATGACACGGAACTGTACAAGAGTTTCCGCTCTGAACCTTTGGGCCAAGCTGTCCAGCAACTTTCGCCCTGTGCGAAGCCCCCGTTTGGCGCCCCCTTCCCTGTCCCTGTAAGGCTCCGCTCTTTTTCCGATTACGACGTAGGCTATGGAGCACGTGTTATGATGCTAGACATGCAGCTAACCATACTATGGAGCACGTGTTATGATGCTATACATGTAGCCAGTGGCGTAGCGAGGGTGTTTGGCGCCCGGGGACAAGATTCGCGCCCGAGGACAAGATCCATTTTTAGCGCCCCTTTTCTTTTTTCAACTCTCAAACCTATTATTTTTACCAATAATCAGGGTTGTTAATATTGCAATATTGTATTGGTATTGGTAGTATTGCCAATACTTTTTTAAGTATTGGGACGATATTGCAATACTTCTTGAAATTTGATATTGGTATTGCCAATAATTATTTTTGATATTGGTATTGATTTTTAACCAATACTAAAAGCAATATTCAATAAATTCTCTACAACATTGGTTGTGAATAAAGCTGAATATAATAAATTTTTCTTTGGTGTCGCCATCTTGCGAGTGACATTGCCAAACAATTTTTGAATGAGACTGATCAATGAAATGAATGATAATAGAAAAGTTTAGTATATACTATAGAAACCGTTACTCGTAACTGGTGTGACTTACCAAGGCTCGATTAAGGCTTAGGCACTTTAGGCACCGTGCCTAGGGCCTACAAACAAAAATAAGGCCAAACAAAGAAAAATTATTTTTTTTATTTATATAATGTTAAATTTGTTGTAATTAGAATTATTTTTAGTAGCGTGAATGCGTCGTTCTATTTCGTTCATAACTTTTCAATGATTGCGCATATTATGGACTGATAGGTAATACTTTCAAGATCTTGATGCCATTTTTTTCTTTGGTCAATATTTTCTTTCCGATTTCCTTTTACAGAATTTCTTGCTTGAAAGTGAGTCAAGTTAATGTTTTGTTTCATCCAATGCCAATGTAGACAGATTTTAGATATAACTCATGAATTTAAATTTTAAACTAAAATTTAATTATTAATAACGGTAAAACTGCTTTATCTGCCGATGTTAATATTCATGAAAATTAACTTCGCCCAAATTAATATTCATGAGATTATTATTTATTACTTTTTCTCAATTATGTGGCCAAATATCTGTGACAAAAATGCCGGAGAGATTACTGACAAATTGGTGAATGCCTTTCCAAATGTAATTATTGCTTATTTGCTTCATTCATCCATTCATTCATCCATCCATCCATTCATTCATTCACAATATGTGTACAGTATACATATTAAAAATCTTGTTGCTTAAGGACGTTAAGGTATGCCGACTTATTTAATATGTTGTCAAAGACTTGAATGCTTTGAGGAAAACTGAAGAAGCAAGTGTTAACTATTGAACAAAATTTTGTTAAAAATACATTGTCTAAATTAGCCAAAAATGTTGTTATCGTTTATCGATGTAAGTGATATAGAGCGATGAATTACGTATTTGCGTTTTATTCGTCGAATGACCCAAATATTGGTATTGGTAAGGCAATAATAAATAAATATTGGTATTAGTATTGCAATACTGGTTTTAAAATTGTATTGGTATTGGTATTGCCAATAGATTTTACAGGCAGTATTGGTATTGGTATTGACAATCATTTTTTTTAGTATTGTTAACAACCCTGCCAATAATATAATATCAAAGCACATTTTGGCGCCCCTAACTAGCTTGCGCCCGGGGACATCTGTCCCCCCTGCCCCCCTCGATACGCCTCTGTATTGATCATCAATATATATCGAACAAAGCGATATTTTATTGGTTCCATTAATTGTAATCGATGAAAGCCACACATTTCTATTACTTTTGAAATTCTATAAAAATTAAAGTTAGAGTGGTTTTTTTATTGAAACAATATTTTTTCTTACACATTTCCCCACGGGGCATGGGCGCCCGCAGAAAACTTTCTAGTGGGGGGGGGGGCGCAAAAAAATCGATTAACTTTCCAGGAGGGGGGGGGGCAAAAAATTTTTAGAAATGTTTTAATGTAGTTTTAATTTACTGTAGCCTAGTTGTATGGTGAACGAACGGACAGGACATCAGCTTAGTTACTTTCTCTTTATTTTCTCTTTACTTTAATACATTTTTTGTCTATTCTTGTCTAAATTTTTGTAATCCAATCAATCCAGGGGGGGGGGG